GAAAAAAAGATATTGTCTCAGAAAAAGTGCTGATTCTTCGTACCTTTGCGTAAGTAAAAAAAAAGTAAAGGACCCTTTTCCACGCCTTTAGGCGTATAGGGCACATAGGGCTAGATGTATATTTTATAGACCAATCGGCACAAGATGGGTGATGTGGTCAGTTTCACGTCGGTCGCCTTTACTTCCTGGGACTGCACCCGGTACCCACTCAAGGCCGGGTCGACCTGGGAGCCAATGTGTACCGCCAGAAAAAAAAAATATCAACTGAATACGTTAATATTTATTTGCCTATTTGCCGCAAGTCCCACGAAGTCACAACTGTTTCCCTATGTGACTTATTACTGTACTTGTCTCCCTCCTTGCTTTTACGTCAACTTCCACACATCCCTCTGGGCATTTGCTTGATGTCTGTTGCGAATGAATTTCATAAAACCTGCATAAGAAGCATTGTTAACATCCTAAGGCTCAGCCCAGCCAGTCCTTTGGGGACGTGCAGAATCGTAACCTGATTATGTCCATATGCGTCTCCGAAGATTATTCTGGTCTTGTGCAGTGTTGCCACATTGGATGTTTTACATCCAGATTTAGAAGTTTTCACTTGCATTGAGATGGCGTTTTCGGCGTTTAAATGGTAAATGTTTTTCTAGACGTTTTCCATTTCGAGTGAATTTATCAAATCTAACCTAAGAAACAGGATGAAATTGGACCTTTTAAATGCTATCTTGACAATAAAATTCGGCCTGATAAGAATAGGAAAAGTCTGTTCCACTTATCAGTTCCCTGATTGGGTATTAAAAGAAATTGGAACAGCTAAAGCATAACAGAGTCATTTTGGATCTTAAGCTTCAACTACATCCTCCAAGCTAAGTTTATCCTGTGGATCTTGTAAGGCAGACTTCAGTAAAGATGAGGACATGATTCTATAGGGTAAGTCATATTAATTGCAATGTAATTTGTGACTTTCCGTTTGGATGTTTTTCTAGATGTTTCCCCACGCAAATTTAGATGTTTTTAGATATTTTTTGACTCGGTTTTGGGTGTGTGTTTTTTTTTTTTGTTAAAGAAAAGTGGTAACACTGGTCTTGTGTGTGCCATACAGGTTTCTGTGGGTTAGGTGGTAGAAAGAGAACTCTGCGGTGCAGGTCCCGTGGAGTCGCAGCTTTTCAACTAACTATTTTGAAGCTTAGACGACCTATCTATCTATATCCCCCTCTTCATGTCCCTGCTTTCCCCATGTGGGTTCCGGAGCCCCACTGTGGGTAGAATAAGAATAAACCTACTACTCCTCCCCCTTTTTTCCATCAAGCATGTCGTAGGAGTCAACTAACTGGGGGCTTCCTTCGAAGTCGGAGTGCATCTGCCCGAACGGCAAGGAACAACCAATTGCACATAAATAAGTCTATAAAACGGATATTTGCGCAAAACTCTTGCCCTGGCACAAAGCGAGGTACACAAGGACGAACAACCAAGACTTTCCACTGGAGCTTACAGCCAGTGAACAAAGAAGAAGAAGAATTTCATTGCGGACAAATAAGGCATTCACAGGTTATCTCCAGCAATGATGGTCTGCTGTTTTTCTGCCCATGGGATCCCATGTTACTTTGTATTTCCTAATGTACTTTTCTGTTATCATTCTCAAGGTTTCTTTAGGTCGTCCACGTGTCTATCCCCCACTCCCCTCCCAATTTGTGTGTGTTTTTTTAATCTGACGGCCTGTGCCAATCTTAAGAGCTGCAACTCGGTTTCTCAGAGGATTCACAAACAGCTAGTCAACCAACAAACCGCAATCGTAGACAATTGCATTTTTGCTCCATTTGTAGACTGGAAGGATATAGTTTCGTTGCTCAGCTTCTGAGTTGAGTGCATGGCGTGACACTGTGAGCTGCGAGTTTCATTTGGAAAACGCATTTTGTGTGTTTTTCGCTGACACAGGAGCGGAGCAACTATGGGGTAGCCCGTTTGCTATGAAGCTAAAACTAAGATTACCAGACAGTTAAAATTAAAAAAAAAAGCGGTTTTTGACTCACGGTACTATTACAGTTCATGCACGACGCCACAAAGAAAACTGTGCCTCTTATAATTTTCTAGAGGCGGGACAGCAAGACACTTAGGAATATGGGGGGGGGGGGGAGAAGGGTGAGTGTGGGGGGAGCGGAGGGGGGGGGGGGCTTCAGGTTTACCGGGCTCCCAGGTTCCGGCGCCTTTGTAACGACTAAAGCTAAAAACTAACATGAACAAAAGCTATTGTTAAAACTAACATGACAAATACGCTGTTGGAGTGTGACGTGTAACGTTTCAAGCGTGATGTAAACAGCAACACCACGAGATGAAAAGCAATGTAGAGGCAAGCTGTGGCTAGAGATCGATTCAACCACCACGTGTACTTTAACTATGAAGACGGCATGTCATCCAAGTCCGTGACACCGGAAGTATTTCTTCCGTAGACGGGGTCACCGTTAGGACAGCGTAGTCTGTCAGTTTTTTCTTTCTGGCGACGGAAACGACACACATGAAATCAAATTATTTCTTTACACATTGTAATAATAATTTATCACTGTTAGTGTCGTTTGTTTTGTTTAACGATGAAATGCCCTGCTGCTCTCCGAATTATTCATGTTGATTAAAAGTAATAAATAAGGTTTGCAGATTAGATACTGGCGTTTTTGCAATGCACGCCACCTCACATCACACATGCAGTGAACTGTTGTGATGACGGCGCTGCAGACGTTGGTCGGGAATAATACGGTTAAAGAGTCGTTTCCTGTGGTTGCGTCTTGTAAGAAATGCCTGTCTTCCTCTGTATTCATTTAGTTGCACATTTGAATTACATGGTTATTATTTTACTTCTTAAATTCCTTTTCAGAAGAAGGCGTTCAAACAACAGTGGCCAACAGAAAATAAATCTCCGTACTGTCAAAAGTAGTGTAGTGGTTTTACCGCGCCCCTTGCCTCGTCTCAGTCGAACCGGTTTTGTCTTCTTAGTCTGCTGGAAGTTAATGCCGGTCGCATACTTTCTTTGTAGTTTGAGATGTTTACATTTTATTTATTGAAAGAATTTAATAGTGTACTACGTTTTTGAAATTCTCTGACTGTAGTTTTGAATACTTGAAGTAAGAAGTACTTTGTAACATAAGAAATCATTAGAGGTTTGGTTAAAACAAAAGAGAAACAATGACCATTGTCTGTTCTTTCCCAGTGTTCTTGATTCTTGTGATGTATGCAGGTTACATCAATTAACATGAAGTTATTTGTATTCTGTAGATTTTCTAAGCAAACTAACTTGCATATGACTCCCAAAGGTACCTAATTTTATCTGTGTTATTGTCTATGAAATCTTCAAGTAAATTGCTGTTATATTGTGCAGACATGTCTTTGCTCAAATTCCACAAGTTTATGTGTAATAATGTACTGTGAAGTAAGTATGTCCCTCTTTGTATTAATGGTCATTGTTGTAAATATGGTGAATCACCAGACATTAAGAGAAAAGTGTTTCTTTACATTTGCATGAGTAATATATGCACTTGACTTGAGATCACATGAAGTAAAAACCAATCCTATTGTCTTTCACCAGCTATGAAAAAGCAGCAACACAAAAAAGTATTTCATGTCACTTGATTTTTTATTTTTTTTACTAACTCATTATTCTAGAATAGTAATTGGGAAATACAGTGGTTAATTGGGCAACATCAAGATAGATCAGTTATGGTGAAATTAACTTTTAAAAATGTGATTTTTCTTCTCTCTTGTTTGACAAGCCACAGGTACAAATAAGAAGTACTGCAGGGGAAAGCGCTTTAGGCACGACGTTTCTTGGCTATCGAAACTTGGATTTTATTTTGTATTTCTGCATTTGTTAGCCAAAGAAAGAAATAGTTGGGGGGGCTGGAAGCGCCTCAGGCACAAAAATTCTTGGCGAAACTGGGATATTTTTTTATTTCTACTTTGTTGGCGGACCCCTTTCCGAGAAAAAGAAAGCAGTTACAAGGTGCATAGGAATAGAAAAATATAGCTGTTTCCTTATTCCCAAACCATTACCCAGGTAGCAGAACGTGAAATTAATCATGCAAGCGAGCGGTGAGAGGACAAGAAATAAGGCAACGGTTAAACCATTCACCGTAAGGAAAACATGACTCCTGGCAAGATAGGAGGGAGATATCCAGCCACCTAAGGAGGCATGAATGGCAAGGGAAGTTACTCTAATCCTGGGCGTAGAAACGTAAACAGCACCCACCCCAGTCTCTCTGTCTCTTCTCCAAAGGAAATTATTACCAGGTTTTTTAAAAATGTATGGTATGATTGTTTACAATTTGAGTGTTAAGTTATTACTAAAGATAACGGGTTGTGTCCAGGAATTTCAAAAACATAGGTGGACTTTTAATAAGGTTGCAACTGGTACTGTTAGCTTGTCAGCCTTGGTTACTGAAGTGGGGAGCGGAACACATGTGGGAATGTCCCGAGTGCAGTGATGTGTGACACAGTGTTCATCATCAATTTCCACTTCTGCCGTTAAGCTGCCTGAAACTGCTTTATGTCTTTCATCTCTTAATGGAGGATAGACCCTTGGAAAACTCACTTTGTCTTTGACTAAAGATTTGTTCATGATTCATTCTGTTGTTCATTCTGGGTTTTTTTTTTCCGTCTTCACTGGCTGTAAATTCCTCAGAAATGTTCTGGTTGTTCTTCCACTTCTGGACTTTGGTCTTGTTCCAGAACTTGAGTTTTGCATGCACAACCATTTCACCCATCTGGCTTACTTGAATGCAGACTTTTGGTTCCTCGCCTCTCAAGCATATGCACTCTGACTTCAAAACACACCTAATAAGTCCTAATTATGTCGTTCTTCTTGGGGGGCAGCAGGTCCCCCCTCCCCCCACCCCTAAATGGGCCCTGGAACCCACCGAGGAAGGTCTTTTTTGAAAGGCATGGTAATTATAGTGTTATGGATTCAGCAAAAGCCTTACTGTTGTAGCAAATGACTGTTTCTGTTGCGTTACAGCACGATGAGACACATAAGTCTGATACTAGGTGTCCTGTTGTGCACTTGTTTTGGTGTGCACAGAGAGAACTTTCGTACCTGTGATCAGAGTGGCTTCTGCAAGTAAGTACAAACCAAAAATTATTTGCTGTTGGGCTGGTTTCTCTTTTATAACATTAAAAATCTTAGTCTGCAGTCATTTGCATGTAATCTTCATTTTTATTTCAATTCTGCTATCGGAACATCAGGAGCCTCTCTTGGCAGTGGTGAAACGTTGCAAGCTAGCTTGGTTTGGGTTTGTGGTGAGACAAAATCCGATTGCATAGACTGTACTTCAAGGAACATGGGGGGGGGGGGAGGGGAAGAAGAGGAGGGCAAAGAAGATTCTGAAATGACATCAAGAAATGGACAGGACTAAGTTATCATACACTTATTCATAAAGCAGAAGACAGAAAAAGATGGCGGGATTTATGTGCTAGTGCTTCCATCAGTACACCTCCACGACCCTAATGAGTCAACGCTTATGTTATCAGTTTGTAGTTGTTTGAAAAATTATAGCAGATTATTCTATCAAGTTACAATTATGTGGAGAAATATGGTAAACTGTTCTATACAATTACAGTTTGGATAACTTTATCAGATTATTTCAGACATACATATTTGTAAAATTATAGAAATTATTCTATGGAGCTACAATTATGTGGGAAATTTTTTACAAATTATTATATAACATTACAGTTTGGATAATTATTTTTGTGGGTGTAAAATGATGACATGGAACGAGTGAAATAAAATTTTCGACAGACTGAACCAGAGACAACTTGTGGTGCTGATAATTCACTTGGGCCTGGGAAGTCTGCAAATTCTGAAAATTGATAAGGACTCAACATGGTCAGATTGGCAGCTGCAAGATCATCTTGATGGATTATAACATTGATAAATGCTGCAAGTTTCTCGCTAACATTTGTAGATTATCTGTGAGTTTGTTTGAAGGATTGTAAAAAACGATGCAGAATAATTGTATTCTGGGGCAAACACAAATATGTGAGCCTGACTTCTTATCCTGAAAAAACTTGTATCCAGGTACACTCGTATTCTAAAGTTTCCTCTTTATTTTAATTCACTATTTATTTATTGTGTCCTTACACATGTAATTATATAACTACTGTTTAAAAAGAAATGTTATCTCCTTTATTTTTAATTTGTAAATTTACTTCTGCTTTCCATTTTAGGCGTCATCGCAACTTACAGCCAGGTACTTCCAATTATGTTGTGCAGCCGTCAACATTGAGAATATCCAAAACATCTTTGATGGTGGATGTTGTGAATACCAAAACCAATGTTCGGTTTCTGCTGCAAGGCTATGGGCTGGTCAACAGCATTTTCCGTGTGAAGCTGGTGGAAGCAGAACCCATTAGAGAACGCTACGAAATACCTGTGGGCATTTCTCTGTTTGCTGAGCCTGTCGAGGAAGAGTAAGTGTACACTAAAGTTAGTCTAATACATGAGAATCAAAATATGTTTTCAAATCTTTAGGAAACAAAATTTTTGACCATAGACAAAAATTACATACCAACTGAAACTTAAAATCGGTGATGAAAAAATTGAAAATGTTAGACTTTTATTTACCTTTGTCTCCTTGTGGGTTTTGTAGCCCCATTATGGGAAGACCCACTACCTCCCTAACAAGCATGTCATAAGCGTCGGCATCTACCTGAAAGGCAAGGGACCAACAGTCTGTATACAAATATGCCTAGTCTGTAAAATAGATGTGCACCCAACACTCAAGTTCTGGATCAAAACTACAGCCCAGAAGTGGACGAACAACCTGAACTTTCTGCTGGAGTTTACAGCCAGTGAAGTAGAAGAGTATACTTTTGTATACCGTTGCTCCATAACTGGTATAAATGAAAATATAGCCAGTGGCACAGGCATACTGAAGCCAAATTGCTGATAGCGTACTTTTTTCCAGTGGAAACGTGTGGATGTGTGGATGTGTGTCATGATTCATTTCTCAGTGATTGGAGACAATTGAGGCTTTTGCCCTGAAGAGTTACAGAAAAGATTACTAGAATACAGTTGATCCTCTTACATTTCTTTATTTCCCTTTCTACTGCAGGATAGAGTAAATAGTTACAATACCAGAGGTACAGGTAATAGAAAGATCTATTTAGAACCAAACAGTGATGAGAACGGCGCACTATATACAGTGCGATTGATAGAACATTGCAGCTCACTGTGGGTGTACTTTATGGTAAACAAAAGTTCATAATTTTGTGTAAATAAAGAAAAGTACTTAAACAGTGGGGGGGGGGGTGGGGGGGGGTTATAAATCTCTTCAATAGATAACAAAGGCTTTATGTAACAGGTTTAAAAAAAAGGAGTTTTGATAGTTTAGTTGCCAACTTAACTCACTTCCTTGTATCATTGTAGCCCAGTGTCCTTCTTTTTTTTTTTCTGTTTGTCTTGCGCTTCTTAGATGGCTCGGATTATGGATTTGTTAATCTTTTTTGTTTGCAGGTTTCAGCTGCACCATTTATCCCTCTCTTTTTTTTTGGTTTTTCCCTCACCTTCCTTCTAGATGTTCTGCTGTAAAAAGTCACCGCTGGATTCTGGGTTTAATTTTCTTTTTCTTTTTTCATGACCCCAGGGTGGCCCTGCCTCTTGTGCTTTTTATGTTTTAAGTTAGAAGTTGCTATTATGAGAAAGTAGTCAAGCTGTTTGACTCATGCCCTGATGGTCATAAGTTCATTTCATGGTCTCTCATTCACTTCATGAGTGCAGTTTCTACAGAAACCACTGGGAATCGTCGTTGAATCTACTGACTTTGTGCTGTGTGTGACACTCTAGGCAAGTGGCCGGCCATGATGTGTAGAGAGGCTGAGCCATATGGGGTACAATTCAATGACGTCTTCTTCATGTTCTGGTGGAAAGTTCTAGGTGTTCATCCACCTCCAAACTGTAGTCTTGTTCCAGAACCTTAGTATTGCGTGCACATCCGTTTCACACCTTTGGCTTATTATATGACCCCAGTTAGTTGTCTCCTACGACATGCTTTTTGGGGAGGAAGTGGGTCTATAGACTTATTTTCCCTACAATGAAGCCCCAGAACCCACACTGAGAGCTTCATGTAATGACGTCAATTCTGTCTACTTTAACTGTTATGCATATTGGACATGTGGTAGTTCAGTGACTGGTGCTCTTGTCGGCCAGCCAGGTGATTATGTGTTTAGATTTGAGGTGTGGATTTTTAACATTTGGCCAGGGCTCCCAGGTTGACTCTGCCTAAAATGAGTACCAGAAAATGTTCTAGAAGTACAGGTGGCTGTAGGATTATTGATCATATCAGCCACTGAGTGCCAGTTGGTCTTTAAAAATATCCTTTACTTTCTGCACGTTGGTAGATAATCTTGTGGTTGTACTTGTTAGGAAAAAAAAAAGCTTAGACGCATTTACATCTTTTGCAGTGGAAGAGGTACATCAAAATAATACTTGGTGTAGCTGTAGGGTTCCCAATTATTAACAATTTGTTAGGCAAAACAGGGTGGCTGGCATTTGTTCCTGTTCGATAAACATTCAAAATAAAATGTCATACGTATAGATGACGGTTCTAGACCGGAAATACAGTGCATATCTGATAAGGAGAACTCACTCAGGACCCAAAAAAAAATGATTCTTTTAATCAGAAATGCCTCTTATTAGATAAGAGTTCAAGCAGGAAAATGTTTTGGGGATAAACAGATTGTTTTTCACAACATAAATTTGCCATATGCATGTGAGATCGCCTTGAGCAGTCTGTACTGTAATCACGAAAAAAGGTGTTATATAATATGAAGATTTATGGTTAAACAGAATACGAACACAGATTTCTGGAGATTATATTTGAGAATAAGGTGGTGTCTTTCATGAATACAAAGACCTGTTATGCTCCACATGTGAAATATGATGTCAGACATAAAGGTCACAGTCCCGGATCGGGAATACCCATCAAATAAGTTTTACATAATATGCAGATTTATGGTAAAACAGAATACAAACAGCAGTTTACGGAAAAAAAACTGGATTTGAGTATAAGGAGGTGACTTAATTTATGCAAAGGCCCTATTCTCCACAAACTGATCATATACCATTTATGATCCACAGGAAACCGGAAGGATCTGGAAAGGGTATTTATATGCATCTATTTTTTCATGGAGGATTTCATTTATATTCCTTATTTATGAAAAAAAAACAAAAAAACTAATCTGTTAAATAAAAAGAGGGAAATAAATTTGAAAAGTACATTTCCATAAGTTGGTCATTGGTATGGTCTATATATTTGATACACAAAGAAGCATTAAAAAACATAGTTTGATGAAAATGGAGGGTGTATTATTGCCATGTTTTGGCATATATCAGTTAAACTTCAGAATAATTTACTTGAAAAGACAGGGCAGGGAAGTTCCTGAACAATTGAATTTGTCAGTTTATGTAATGTACTGTGACTCCTAACTCTTTTGTCTTGAAATTCCTATTGAAAAAATCCTCTATTCAGAGAATTATTTGTTATTCTGAAGTAGTTTTAATAATAGTACAAGAATGTATATTTTAAAAATCCTCCCAAAACTAGTGGTTCCCAAATTTCTGGTCATTCTGACTTTAATATGACAGCTGTGTCAGCAAATGCCAGATACCTTGTTGACACCCCCCCCTCCTTAGTAAGTTATAATTAGGGCACCTGTAACAGCTACACTAAGTATTACACCAGGCACCCTGATTTTCTGGATGGGTAAGGATAACGTCAGCGATAACTTGTGTACAGGGCACGTGAACTGCACTACTATCTTTCTTCTTGTGATGGACAAAATTCATCGTACTTTGGTCCTAAAATGCGGTTATGAAATGCAGTAGAGCCAGATCCCAAAAGACAGTGCTGTATCTCCATCACAGTACAATTTGTTTGCTATTTTTAGTAAATCTGATCCTATCCATCTTAACATGACACAGTCACAAACAGTACCAAAACATACCTAATCCTTTTGGGGACTGGCAAGTGTGATGACATCAGAAGTAACGGTTTCTCTGGGATTTGACAAACAACTGACATTTTGGTTTGTTGGATCGAAAGGGTTAAGACTTTTTAAACAAACAAAATTCTTAAAAGTAATCTGGTAGTCTTAGTTTCAGCTTCATAGCAAACGGGTCGCCCCATCTTTGCTCCGCTCCTGTGCCAGCGAAAAACACTCAGAATGTTTATGATAAACTTTATCACAGTCCCTTGTGGAAAGATTGACAGACTGCTGTCTCAGCAAATCTAGCATACACTCGCATTAACACATATGGTAGCCATCCGAAGTGCTAACACAAACAGTCCAGCATTAGAAATGCAGTTCATCATTGATGATAGCAGAACTTGTCGCCAACAGATCAGCAGTTGCCCGCGCGATCAATTTTAATACGGGTCCCGCCAGCATTGCACGACCGGCATCGCGCCATTTTCTGAATCTACAATTCACACCACCGCGTTGGTCACAGTCGAAAAAACATTCCAAATGCAATCCGCAGCTCACAGGGTCACGCCATGCATTCAACTCAGAAGCTGGGCGACGAAACTATATCCAGTCTACAAATGGAGCAAAAATACTTCGGCCACCGTCCGGCAGAAGCAAAAAATTTGCCTCCGCTCCGAACAGCGCCGCTGTCTAGCGTCCATTTTCACCGGAAGCTGTCTTAAAAGTAAGCTCTGTTAATGCACACGAGGAATCGTTTAATGATAAAGCATTCTTCACACGTGGTTTGTTCTAAAGTTCAGGTTTTCCTTAGTAAGAAATTCATTAACACCATAACAAGGAATTAATTGAACCAGGCAGGAAACTGCTAAAGTTCTTCCAGAACAGGAACAGAATCATGATCTACAATGAGTGTCTACATGTAAACAGTGACACAGAAATACAAAAACTAGTCAAACAGTACATAAAGCAGGACAGGCAAAGAAATGTGACCAGAGACACACAGCCAGCCCGCTGTAGGTCTGTGTGGCCTCGGGTTCAAGGTCCGGACCTTGACAGACACGGGTGGCACTGGAAATTCAGACTCAACCAGCACACACAATTATGGTCTCGCTTATAACCATTGCTTGACTAGGAGCAGTTTTACAAGATCAACATTTGATTCTGTAATAAAAAAATAAAAAAATCAAATTAAGACCGTTTTATATGGAACTTTGAGTTCCTGAAAAACTTTGCTGACAAATATGCTGGGCAGATAAAAAGAGAGGAACCAGATAATGGAGGGATACACACCTACTGCTTTCCAGGTAGACTGCAGACAGTCAAAGGTTTTGCAAAGCAAATCCCAGAATCTTTACTGAACAACAGAATGGTGCAGCATAACATGTTTCTTGGGGATGAAATCTCAGAGGAAAGAATGCAGCCTTTTGACTTATTTTAACCAGCGTAGCGATATTGAATTCATAGTTGGGTTTATCTAGATATGCAGGAAAGTTTGCCACAAATCATTCTTGTTCGTTGCATGATTAAAAATATAAGTGCAATCTGCTATACACAGTTGTATTATCAGGCTAAGCTGTAAATGATTATAAAGACAACCCAGGAAACATTTCTTTATATTGTAAAACCTAGCCAGTTCAATCCAAGTGAGACCAAAATAAATCATATTTACTCAAAAATACATCTGGGAATTGCTATAATTAATCTCAGGCATCTTATGTATATCAGCAATGCTGGAACAGTTTATACCATTTTTATATTCAGTACATTTCTCATGACTGTATTTATATTTATTGCCGTTTTGTTTATGCTATGGTGGTATTCGTTATTGCTGGTGGTCTTTTTTCTCTATATCTGCTGACATTTTTTTTTTTGCTTTGGCATATTCTGTCATAGAAAACCTGGCTTCAGAACCTGTTGACTTCAGCATTGTCTCATCACATTCTCACAGGCACATTTTTCTGGTGTTGTACTGGAGAATGTTTATGTGCTTTAGTTACCTCTTTGGCTGGGCTTGCTGCAGTATTGACACCTTTCAGCCCAGCATGTCTAATTTCAGCATATCCCTAATTGGATGCCTTTCACAACATGCTTGTTTTTGTGTGTGGGGAGAGGGGGGGGGAGGCAGCGGGTCTGTTCTTTATTGGAGCCCCGGAACTGTAAGATCAGGCAGAAAGTTGTGGTTGTTTGTCCATTTGGATTTCGGCTTCACATCAGAGCCTGAGTTTTGAGTGTACATCCGTTTTGGTGGCTTATTTGTGTGCAGTTGATTGTCCCTTGCTGCTCGGGCAGATGCACTTTGACTTAAAAGGAATTTTCTGTTTCTGAAAAAAAAAAAAAAAATCATTGGTGTAAAACAAAGTTCATGTCAGTCTTTCAAGAAATTAATTAGATAAATTCAGAGTAGATAGTCAAGATTGTGGGGTCTAATTATGAGGAGAATTAAGTTGTGTTGAATGTTTAATGATTACTTGCTCCCTTTATATTTTTTTTGGGGAAAGGGTGGGGGAGGGGGGGTGTGTGTGTTTATAAAAGGTTTGATGAAATTGTATGTGTTGGGATAAAGAGGTGCAGAAACCTTAGCTTAGCTGTAAACCACAATGCAACAAGCCAGCTATGTTTTTGAAGGCTGAACACAGAAGAAGGACAACTGGCAAACTTTAGGGGGAAAAGAGCACTAGGAAGACAAGCAGGGTTAATATATAGATGTTTTGAACCTTCTTTTTCTTTTTCTTAACTTTCACTAGCTGTAAATTCTGGTGGAAAGTTCTGGTTATTCATCAACTTCTGGACTTTGGTACTGTTCCAGAGCTTGAAGTTTGCATGCATTTCTGTTTCACAGATTTGGCTTATTTGTATCCAGACTTGGTTACTTGCTGCTCAGGGAGGTGCACTCCAACTTTGAAGGGAATATTCCTAATTAGTCAGCTTGCACGACATGCTTGTTGGAGGGGAGGGAATGTCTATTCTTTTTTGTTCTGCTCCAAAATAGGGCTGGTGAACCCCCACTGGAATATCTGTGGAACATATGGCATAATTGAGATGCGAACGTAGACTGATGATTGTCTGAGTTAGCCAGCCATAAATGCGCATACTCATCTGCATGTCACATGACAGTTGGTGATGTCTTGCACATTGTAAATATTAATTTGTGTAATGATTTTATATTAATGGAGAGTTTTCTTTGTTTTTCTTTTAACAGGCTGAAGTATCATGGTGAGAAGGATGGCACGCTGACCTTCTCTCTTGGTGACAACAAGATGGTCATCAACATTGATCCATTGAGACTAGATTTCTTTATCAGTGGTGAGCCAGTAGTAAGTCTTAATGCTCAAGGCCTTCTCAAGTTTGAGCACACCCGCACAAAACAGTAAGGATATGTTGTGGCAGTCTGTATAGAATGTTTCTTGTGTGTATAGTATTGGTCTGCTTTCGTAATGTGAGGCTGTCTATGTTAAAGAACTTTCTTCCTATTTCTTTGAATAATTGGAGTCTTAAATTTGATTCTTGTTAAGGTAAAGGAGTTTTTTTCTTCTGTCAGTGGAAAAAAAAAACATCAAAACATGCAGATCTTGACTTCTGAACTGGTTGTACAGGTTTCAAGACCTGTGTCCAACACTGCCATAAGACTGTTTAAAAAAAAAAAAATAGTATTTTCACGATTGCAGACTAACTAGAATATTCTGTGCAGTCTTCATTGTCAGTTGAGATGAGAAAGAGAATTCTCAAGAGTTATATAAATTCTACCCTGATATACAGAACTGAACTATTGACAGTTGGACGATTAGTGAAAAGTTATTTAGAAGCTGTGGAGATGTGGTTTTATAGATGAATGATGAGATTATCCTGGACGGATACAAATAGGTATAAAGATGTCTTCAAAGAAATTAACTCAGAGAGAACTGATAGCCTACATCAGAAGGAGACAAGCTATTCTTTGTTATGTAATAAGAAAAACAACTGGAGTACATTATGGCTGTGGGAAAGTTGGAGGGGACAAGAAAGAGGTAGAGGGAGACAAGAGAGAAGATGCTAGACAGTTTGACATCATGGCATGGAAGATCATCTGGGGATGGACATACCAACCAGTGCCACACAGCATAGAATGTAAGAAGAAGTAAGAGACTGACTTGATTGTTTGGGTGACTTTTGAGTGACTTGAGTATGGAGTTTGCTTCTAGCTTCAGAGTTACTAGTTTCACATCCAGTTTAGAACACAATTTTTTTTTAAAAGTCCTTATGATCTCCCGCTCTTCCTTGATATCTGGATAAAATATTTGATGTTTTGCTATCTATAACAAACATGAAGTCTGCTGTGCATGTTGCATACATAATAGATCTCGTGACACTTGACAAATGCAGAGTCGCTAAAAGGGCGCTGCCTTGGTGAAATTTCCGTAGATTATCAGAGTTGTTTAGATGACAAAGCCAACCCTAAAACTACATTTATGAAGTCGGATTTATCAGCTGAGGGATGCAGGTGTTTCAAATCAGCTGTGAACATACACAACATAGCAGACATCCATTGCAGAACAAAAGGGGAATAAATATAACTCAACTTATTTGAGTAGCTGATTCTGTTAATTATATATTATCTACTAGGTAATGTTACACCAGTTTTATGTGCTTTTTAATTTTACCTTAACATCACAAACTAGATAAATTTATTTGCAGACACAGCTGATAGGGCTGATTGGTCTGTAGTTGAGGCATTGGAACTGTCTTTTCCAGATTTTATGAGAGGTATAATAAATACCTCTCTCCAGATCTGCAGGACTTTTCCTGGTGTCCAGGTCTAGCAAGCATTGAAGATCTGTAGCAGCTTTGTTTTGCCTGTTGTTTTTGATCATTTTATTGGATTCGCCATCTGCTACTGGTGACTTATGTATTTTCAGTTTAGATATTGCTGACTCCAATTTACTAAGTGTAATAGGTCCCTCAAGGGCCTCAGATGTTACCACTGTCTCTCTTATGTATTGTCTTTTCTCCAGCATCTCTTGTTTTTTCTTTGAACAGATTTCACTTTATTTTTAATTTTTAGGAAAAGTATCCACAAAAAATGTTGGCTGACCTTTTCCCCTCTGATCATGTTTCTTTCTGTAGTATGATTTTGAGTCCCTCTACGTACCAACATCATTAATTTGTTTTACTTCTTCTTCTTCTTCACTTCCTCTTTTACCGCTGTGGGTGTCGAGGGAATAAGGTTCTGTTTCTAGCTCTGGCTGCCTCGACCATAGGCACATCGTGCTGATGTAGAGTTTCTCTGATATTATTCTTCCATCTTGTTCTTGGTCTACCTCTTGCTCTGCGTCCTTCTTCTCTTTCCATGTATGCTTTGTATGGTATGGCGTCATAAGGCATTCTCTCTAAGTGGGCAAACCGTTTCACTTGCTGTCTTTGTATGTAATTTAGAATTGGTTCTGTGCCGACTTTTTCTCTTATGATCTCATTCCTGATCTTATCTGTTATGGTCACACCTACAGCCCTTCTCAGACATCTCATTTGTTTTACAAGCTTCCATAACTATCTTGTGTCTTTTTCAAAGAAGAAGATGGACAGTTGCGGCCATAAAAAGATGGTAATTAATGTCAACACTGGTATAGAATGTATTTTAGTAACATATATTGAATATACCTTCTTCTTCATCTGCTTTACGTTCACCAGCTGTAAACTCTGGCGGAAAGTTCTGGTTGTTCATCCACTTTTGGACTGCAGTCCTGTTCCAGAACCTGAGCGTTGTGTGTGCATCCGTTTGACAGATCTGACTCATTTGTATGCAGACTGCTGGTTCATTGCCTCTCAGGCAGATGTGCTCCAACTTCAAAAGAAGCTCCCAATTAGTCGACTCTTACGACATGCTTGTAGGCAGTGGGTCTATTCTTGTTTCCCCTATAATAGGGCCCTGGAACACACACAGGGAATTGAATATACCAATAATGACTTGATGTCTCTTACGTAGGGTATCTAGGGTGCAAACAATTTATGTCTTTGGTGTGCAGATGTAGATGTGCCTTATTTAGACAGTCTGCGCCCAGAAAATTTGAGGAAAAAGACACTAAATGAACTGTACTTTTGCTGATGACTGATTTGGAGAAACCAATTCTGTTACATGTATTTCCTTGTTTAAATAACTTGTTTATTGTTGTGATTCTTAAAGATTTCAGTTTGTGAATAGAGGCAGAATAATTGTTACAGAAATAAAAGCATATTTGAGCTGTAAAACAACAATGAATGCAGACAAGTTGAAACCATTCTTGACTGTAGAAAAAGTGTAAAACAGATAGATAGATGATGATATTACCAATTCCTCTGGAGTGAACTAGCAACAGTCTTCAGACCTTGTACAAGAATAATGGACTGGACTACTTGTTTAATAAACCAAAGAAAAAGATACTGAGGAATACAACAATGAAACTGATAAAAGGGCAGCTAAATATGTGCTGCAAAAGTGTCCATATATATATATATATATATATATATACATATATACATATATATATATATATATATATATATATATATATATATATATATATATATATATATATATATATATATATATATATATATATATATATATATATATATATATATATATAACATTTTCATGTTTAATATTCAGAGTTACCATATTTCCCCAAGTATAAGATGCACATATTTTCCTAAAAAATATTTGGTCCAAACCAAAAAAAAAGTGTGCGTCTTAGTAGATTTTTACCAAATGATTTGTAAGAAAATATCCTGTACAGGGCCTTATTTGGGAATGCAATATAAAATGGAAACAAAAAAATAAATGTTCTTTCTAACTGTAATCATTTTTATGCTTGTTGTCACGCTCATTGTTTAGTATTTGTTACATTAGGTTACGCTTTGCCCATAAATGTCTCAGAAAAGATTTTTGTACGGTGCTGAATCAAAGTTAAAAATAATGCAGTTTGCAAAATTTAATGGAAATCTTGCTGTTGAATGTATGTTTGGTCCTCCTCCAACTGAGAAACCAATCTCAGGCTGGCTACAGGAAGAAGAACCCTTACTGAAAATGCCACAAAAGAAGTAGGCCATGAGAGGCAAGTCGGCAAAATAGCCTGATTTGGAGAGGAAAATGACTTGAGGATGATGCAGTTACGAATGAAGACAAGGATTCGTCATCAGAGCTAGATGAGGACAAGATAAAGAACTGTCACATAGATGAGAGTTTTGACAGTAATGAGCAGTTTTCTGGATTGATGAAAACAGCGTGAATTCACTAACTCTGTGTAATCATATTGTTTTTTTATTTCTGTCTCTGAATTTTCAGTCCTAAAGTCAAGATGCATCTTATTCATGTGATCATCTTATGCTTGGGGAAATACAGTACATTTATTTTCAGTAAAATCATAGTAAACCCACTGGCTCTGTTTGTTCACTAAAACGGCTTGGTCGGCCATTAAAGTTCCACTAAAAGCTGCAAATCTAATATGAATTTTTTTTTCAAGTCCTGGGGAATAAAGTCATTCTTAAATTAAATGCATTAAAATTAATGAAAACAACATAAATTTATAGTGAGTTGTGTCACCCCGTGTTCTAAGATTTTGTTTCTCTCCAAAGTGTTATTGGGGTGAATTTGTTTCTTACTGCCACTGTACATTCTGAGACTCCAGTAAATTCCATGGTGCATTTACCTGCCTCACCCATAATGAAATAGGCATTTGCGCAGCCAGTTCTGCTTTGTTGTTTTGGTCCTGCATGATCTCTTTCTTGTTTTCATCAAGTAGTATGTCCCTTATTTCCACGTCCACATAGGGGCTGGTTCTCTTCACTGGGCTCCTGGTTTTTCTCATTACTTTCACCTTTCAGAGAGACCAAATCTGAGAATGAGGAGGTGGCCCAGGACGCAGAGGGAGACCAGAAGGTAACTAGATTTGGTTTATTATCATCAAATGCACTAGTTTCTTTGTTGTTTATGTGGAGGAAAATCTACAAACAATTGGTCAGATGACAGTTGTAGCCATTCCATACTTATTACTATGTCAGCTAATTGTGTTTGTTTTGTGTTATTTTCAGTTTTCTTTTTTAAAAAGTGGGAGTCGCCGTGGCGTAGTGGCTAGACACTCGCCTGGGGATCTGAAGGTTGCGGAGCTGGACTTTTTCAAAAATGACCATAGCTTCCAGGTAGCCCCAGCCTTGAGTGGGTACCAGGTGCAGTCCTGGGAAGTCAAGGTGGCTGGCGTGATGCTGACCACATCTTGCTGATTGGTCTATAAAAATATAGGTCTAGCTCTATACGCCTAAAGGCATAGAAAAGGGTCCTTACTTACTTTTTCAAAAAGTGATATTTCAACTCTTCAGCTGTCAGACAAAACCTGCAGTGATTACATCATTTATGCCTGAATTTTTCAACAAGAGCAGTACCTATAATATCATCTGCTTTCTTTTCATTGTGTCACAGTTTGTTTTTACTGATTTAAAAAAAAAAATGTTGTGTTATTCTTTACTGGAACAATAATTATAGGAATAGGCTTCTTCTTTTTCTAGTGCTCGTTGATAAAGCCTGTGATTGAAATATTAATTTGTTGCTATGTATCTTTCTTCCCTTCCACCCTGGTTTAGCTTCCCATATGTTTCTTAGTCATTGCAAATGTAAAATGATGTTCTTGCTGTCTTCTGCTAGAGACTAAGAGACAGATATTGTTAATCCCTTGGCATTTAAATTTCTAGTTGAACCAACGATCCCCCACCCCCCTCCTCTCTCTCCCCCCCAGACAAAGGGCTAATATTCCCACAAAATGTTTTTTAAAAAAAGGTGCCTTTATTCACCACAAAGTGCTTATCACAGTAGAGCTGCAAAAAAAAAAAAGGTCCTTTATCCACACCTTCAAGCGTATTCAGCATATAGGGCTAGGCCTATATTTTATAGTCTAATAGGCAATCAGTGGATGATGTGGTCAGCATTATGCTGGCCGCCTTTACTTCCCAGGACTTTACCTGGTGCCCATTTTAAGGCTGGGCCGATCTGGGAGCCAAAGTGAGTTTTTGTTAGGACCTGAACCCATGACCTTCGGATCCACAGGTGAGCGTCCAGCTACCAAACCACAGCGGCTACCTTCAAAGGAAACCCCTTATTAGTCGACTCCTCACCTTGTGGGTTCCTCAGCCCTATAGGGAAAACAAGAATAGACCCACTGCCTCCCCAACAAGCATGTCATAGGAGTCAACTAATTGAGAGCTTCCTTCAAAGTCAGTGTGCATCTGTCCAAGCAGCAAGGAACAACCAGCTGTACATGTAAGCCAGTAAAATGTATGTTCACACAAACCTCAGACACTGGCGCAAAGCCCATGTCCAGATAGATGAACAGTAAGGACTTTCCGCCGGTGCTTACAGCGGGTGAATAAAGAAGAAGAAAACTCTTACGACATCCTTGTTAGGGAGGTCTGCACTCTTTTCCCCCTACAGTGATGTCCCGGAACCCACACAGGGAGGTTGAGACTAAAAGAGCTGAACCTAAAAAAATTAATGTGATTAACTGTTTACCACATATCCCTAACATAGGTTGTTAATATGGTATGTATGAAATTTCTGATTATTTTTAATTAAGCAGTGGTTTGTTTTAGCTTTTTTTTTCTATCTGCATGAGTTTTAAATCAGTGAAAAGTAGTTTGCTACCACAGATTATCTGAATTTTTGGTGATGTAAAGGAGACCAGTTTTAAGCTGCAGTAGTGCAGTGTCTAATGTTCCTGCCTGCTGACTTGGTGGTCATGAGTTCAGATCTTGCTTGTGTTTAAATGCTGAGCATAATATTGTCCTCATCACTGAATGAGTGCTGATTAGTCTGTAAAAATATAATGCTTGGACTATCAATCCAAGGCACAGAATGTGATTCTTTGTCAGAATGGCATAATTAGCGCAGCTCGCTAGCATAGTTGGTTTAACCTGACTTCGCGGCGACCGGGTGACGAACTCCTTGTGGTCCAGGTTCACGCCCAGGGGTAGGCAGAAAAGCCACATTTCTCTCAGATTCACTGTACCTATCATGGAATCAAGGCTGAAGGGTTGCGATATCCATAGTACTGAGCCAAAGAGTTAACAACTAATGGTTTCTGGATATTTAAGACAAAAAAGTCATAATTACTTACTGAAATGAGGTGACAGTAGTAAAGCTATATTTGTCTACTGTAATTAGTCCTCTGAAGCTGACATATTCTTTATTTATTAACTCTTTGAGTCCCAGAGGGTTTAGCATCACAGGCCCAGGGGGTAGTAAGGAAAGTAATAAAATCGGCGCATCATGCGTACTTTGGGCTTCTAGGTAGGAACCTATGAACGTATGATGCGTTCCTTGGGACTCAAAGAGTTAATTTCTTTTAAACACAAGTTACTTAATGAGTTCTATATCCTCTTCATGTCCCTGTTGACACATAAGGCATTCACAAGTGATCTCCATTGCCTCCGGTCTGCTGCTTTTCTGCCCAGTCAAATAACGTTCCTTCATTTCCTGTTCTGTTGTCCTTCTCTAGGTTTTATTGTGTCATCCATGTCTCCTTTTCCCATCTGCTGTCCACCGGAGAGCCGTTTTTGCCAGAGTATCACAAGGCATTCTGCAAACATGTCCAAGCCATCTCCATCATCTTACTTTGATAACATTTGCCAGTGATGCACATTCAGTTTTTCCTCCTCAGTTCTTCATTTGTGATCTTGTTTGGCCACTTAACGAGTTAGCATTGTATTATTCTAATTATTTTTTAAATTTTGCTTTGGCTCAGGGGCTAAGGTAGCCATAGTGGCTAGTATGTTTGCATGCTGATCAAATGGGCATACGTTCTGAGTTCCCATTAAAACAGATTTTTGAAACTAACTTGGAATACCAGGTTGAATTAGCTTAAAATGGGTGCCAGGAAGTGACCTGGAAAGTAAAGGTGGATGAGATGATATTGGGTTATCCACCAAGTAGCAATTGTTGTAATGGGGCTTAGCACCATTAGCCCAGTAAATTTAATGGTTTATAGTGGTGCCTTTACTTGTTTTTGTGTTTTTAATAGGTATTTTCTTTTTTGCTTTTGCTAGCTGATGAAAGTTTTAAAGCCCAAACAACAGTTCTGTCATTTTTATTGGTTTGGTGTTTTTGTACCTTTTACCATACTTTCTTCCAATTATTTATTACATTTTCACAGTTAATCATATTTCTTTTATCTCTGGATGAAAAACCTTCATTATAATATTTATATTTTTGTAAGTATTACACATTAACAAATTGTTTTGTGGAGTTATAATTTTTCAGTAGAATGCTGCATCTGTAGCTTACTTTGTTGTCACTGTTTTAGCTTGTAATTTTAACTTTTTCCCCCATTTATAATTATAATTGTGAAGAATCAGTGTCATTGCACTGGGGCAAGCAGAGATTACTTTCTCTGTCCTTGTAAAAGGGCTAAATTTTTTAAAGATTTTGATTGTTACTTTTGTGAGCTGATTAGCTTGTAACTGACCTCCATTTGGCTTTTGAAACCCCTAATTATAAGTTTTAAAGTGATCGAGTGGGGAATCCGGAAAATATTCTGGTTGGCTTAATGCTTTAAAAATGGCTATTCAGCTCACTTTGTATCAGGCAGCACACTGAAATAAAATAAAAAAATAAAAAATGTTTAACCATTTTGCTTTGTTTTAAGTTAAGTGTTTTTTTTTAACGTAATGTCTTTCAATGTGATGGATGTTGTTTTGTTCAGTGTTTATGTTTAGTAATTGTTTTGATTTCATCAGGAGGTTGAAGGAACACAGAAACAGGATGATGATGAGCCAGACATGTGGGAAGAAACATTTAAAGGATTTACAGATTCTAAACCACATGGTGAGAATATTTCTATACAAAACTTACTTAATCAAGTGTGACAAATTTAATTTATTGAATAGATTCCTACAAGATGTTTGTATGGAAATGTAATCTGAAATAACATTCCCCCACAGCTTTCTTTGTGGCAGAGTAAATGGATATGTTGGTTTGCAAAATTATCCCTTCTGATTATATTTGAGAATTTATCATCTGCAGTTGATACACCTGTTTTAATTAGTCACATTTAGTTCTTATATAGTAAGACTTCCAAACATGGGTTCCGGAGTCCTTTTTGATGGGGGGGGGGGGGGGGGGGGTTAGTTCATTGGCCGTTGTAAAGGGCAACCAACTAATCGCAGATTTAATAAAATCTGACGTGTTGGGCAGAAAGATGCTGATATTGCAGGCTAAAAATTAGCGCCACGTTTGAGGTGTCAAAATATCATGTGCGAGCACACGCACGCACGCAAACACACACACAAGCAGCTGATAAAGACACTGTTCGTACCAGCTTTATGCTATAAATGCCTGACATGGGCAGTTCTAGAAAGACATAAATGCACAATTATAACATGTGAGATGGGATGTGTAAGAAATGTGGCGGGGAAAAAGAAGAAGAAAAAGTCATCAATGAAGAACTAAGAATAATGGTATGCATGGTAGCGCTGAAAGATTTCAAAGAATTTAATGATTTGATTGTCTGGGCAGAATGGAACAAAAGCAGCCAGTCCCAGTAGCCAGCTAGAGCATACTACATGAAACATCAGGCTACAAGTCAAGAGGCCGACCAAGAAAGAGATGGGCGGAGGGAGTTGAAGACAGAAATGCTATATGACATTAACTCTTGACTCCTCTCAGCGACACTTTACGGCATAAACTAAAGGACAGAAGAAGAAGATCGCAGACTAGTTGTAAACCACAACACAACATGCCAACCACCCTTTGAAGGCGAATGCAGAAGACGACATAGTAGGACAAATAGATAACACTCAACAGTATTCATCCATTTCAACTTGTTTTACCCTAACAACGCTGCCCAGGCAAAATTTGGAGTTAAAAATCTACCCAAAGTTTTTCAGGATCCTTGCCGGTGCTACAGAGCCTGTGCACTGTGCTGAGCTTCTTCGGACTCAGACTTGAGTAGGAAGAAGAACGGAGCACATAGGTTACTACCCATGTGCCATGATGTTGATCCGTTGTTCAAAACCTCAATCTTTCAACTTCTTTTTTGTTGTTAATTTCGAATACTGTATTTCCCCAAGTATTAGATGCACTTATTTTCTAAAAATTTAGGGTCTAAAAACAGTGTGCGCCTTATACAATGGTAGTAGATTGTATGTATGTATTTTATTCTCAAAATTTCTGGTCCCAAAATCAAGGTGCACTGAATACATGGGATTGCCTTCACTTGGGGAAATATGGTACACTAAAATATTCACTTTCTGTACATCCATTATTGTAGATTCAAATATAAAGCTAATTTCTGTGAGATATTGTATATGTGTAAAACTATATACTAGTTAATTGTATTGTATATTTAATCTTTTTATAGGACCTACTTCTGTGGGTGTAGACATTGCCTTCCCTGGCTTCCGTTATGTTTATGGTATACCTGAACATGCTGATTCTTTTGCCTTGAAAACTACAAAGTAAGTCAGCAATAAATCACAAAGTTTCTCTGTGTCTGCATGTGTCTATATGTATGTTTAAAAGAGTCAAGTTTTTGTATGTGTACATATGCATGAGAAAGTGAGAGAGAAAAAAAAGGGGGGGGGGGAGAGAGCGGAAAAAACATTTGATAGGGTAGCGTGTGGTAAGTTTAGGGAATTTGATCAGGTTTATCACATAGAATAAGTAATTGAAAAAAAAAAAATTGCTGTGCCTCAAAATGTCTTGAACATATTCTGGTAGCCCTGTATTTATTTAAATCAGGTGGCACTGTATGTATGTTGTGGTCAATATCTTATCTGCCACATTAACTCCCCACCGTATTTTGTTTGCTCGCCGATTTGTGCATATGAAAAAGTGAAAGGGAGGGAGAAAGAGAAAGTGAAGGAGTGGTTTTTGGGATTTTTACTTGTTTTTCATCCTTTCTTTTTCTTCTGCCTTTTGTCCCCTAGTGGAGCATAGACCCACAACAAACTCATGCCAAGTCGTCCGTCCTATACTTTGCTATTTTATACAGCTCTATCCATGTCCACTCTATTTTTTCAACTTTATTCTCTAGCTCCCTTCTCCATGTGTGTTTTTTTGTATCTGACTATTTCTGTACCACTGTGGGTTTTAGTACAAAGACATTCTAGTTAGATTCTTCTCAGGTTTTCTCAACGTGTGTCCTATCCAGCAACTGTGGTGTTTCATCACAAAGTAATTAATGAGCAGTATTGCTAATGTAAGACAGTGCAAGAAATCTGCTCATTTCATCTCTTAGGAGATAGACTCTTGTGACAAGGACTAGAATGTTGCACATTAGAATGTTTCATAATGTGCACCAAAATTGTTGACCTCCATTACAGTCTCTACTAGAAGATACTATCATATTCAACACATTGTGAAAGGGAATTCTCAAGGATGTTGACCAGGGTTCCCAGGTTGACTGGCCTCAAAATGGGTTCAGGAAATATTTCAAGAAGTAAAGATTGACTGACCATATCACCCATCAGGTACAGGTTGGTCTGTAAAAGTATGGGGTTAGGCACAGAGTAAAGTAAAGGATGCCTTTCATATCATTATCACACCAGGCACAGACCTGTATTGTCATAAATTGGTCAGCTCTTGGGGGGGGGGGGGGGGGGGACTTCAGGCCAGGACCAGAGCTAAATTAGTTGCTTATTCTTTACAGGATGTTTGCAGAACCAAAGCCCCGCATTTGTTGGTTGTTTTGATTTTACTAGGCAATTTTATTTTCAGTAGTTTTCCATTGCTTTCGGAGTAAAAAAATCAACACAAGAAGGTCTGCTGCCAACTCGCCCGCAGCTGGAATTGAGTGTAGTACTTTAGAATTACTAAGCGTGTTCATGATGACTTAGCCACATACAGGACTAAAGTATCATATGCTAATTATGCATTGAGAAGGTGTGGAAAAATGTCCTATACTTTTTGTAACATGAATTCTGAGCAATTTACAATGGACACAATTTCCGTAAATATGGATATTTTAAAGTGGATATTTTAGACACATATTTTTGGGGGAAATAAATTTCCTATTATAAAAACAATGATGACTAATTGATGTATGTTTTCTTTCTCCAGAACTACAGATCCCTACAGAATGTACAATCTGGATGTCTTTGAATATGATCTCTACAACCCCATGGCTCTTTATGGTCATGTGCCATTTATGGTTGCCCACAAGTAAGAATTTATCAGGAATTTGTCGCCAATCTCTACAGCCGTGGAGTCATCCAAATCTCATAATAATGGCTACCAATCAATTTTAAGGACATTTTTAGGAAAATTTCCTCAGAATTTAGTGGGGAAGGAACAAACCTTCTTCTTCATCTTGTTCTTTTTCTTCACTTAATTTTTTACCTATCCAGATTTCCGGGAAGATGTAAGGTTCTGCATCTTGCTCTTGTTGTTGCCTCAACCATAGAAAAATTATGGAGTTATAGTTTTTCTGATGTTATCTTTCCCCTTTGTTCTTGTCTACCTCATGATTTATATCCTTCTCTTGTTTCAGCGTATACCATTTATGGTGCGGTGTCAAAAGGCATTCTCTCTAACTGTGCAAACCATATGATTTGCTGACTTTGCACGTAATTTAGCATTGGTTCTGCGCCGACTTTTTTTTTTCTTTTTATGACCTCATTAATGATTTTTATCTGTTCTGGTGACTCCTGCAGCCCTTCTCAGACATCTCATTTCCATTGTCACTGATTATGTTTTCTGGTTTGTTGTGAGTGACCATACCTGGCACTGGTAGCATAGGATTGGAATTAATATGCTTTGTATGAGATGTTGCTTTGTGCTAATTAGAATAGTTTCATGCTGGGGAAAAAAAAGGGGGGGGGGGGGGGGGGTAGCTTTCTTGATACTTGGCTTGCTTTACTGCATTGGATGTTAATTTCTTCATCCAGTTTAATATCTGTGGGTAATGTTGTTCCCAGACATTTACACTTAAATGCCAGTTAAATGCCTTTGCACTCTATTGCTGGATTTAGATTCTGCTTCTTTCTTCCTATTGGCATTACTGCTGCCTTTTTATTGTTGATTCTGAACTAGTCTCCATACCTAATATGTCATGATCTACGATAGGGTTTGCCATTTGGTGGTCCAGGGGTCGACAGAACAAATTGAAGCGATTCATGTCATCATTTACCCCAACAATGCTCAGCTTTCATTTTGTAATCTTGATGTGTGTAAATTCGAATTCATTCAGTATCTAACAAATCAGAATGCGTTTGTTGGGTCCTACTGACATATCCCATGTTTCCATACCTAGGAAAAAAATTAAGATATCGCCAAAGTCCTTACAAGCATATCTCCATCTGTGTCCTTACAAGCATATGTCTATCTGAGCTTATATGTGTTCTTTATATGTGTTCTTCAATAATAGAGGACATGCATTAGAGTGTATTTTCAAAACAATGGTAGTCATGTAGAGCATATTATATAAATAATAATAAATGGTTTTCTTTAAAAAAAATTTTCACAAATGTGAAAACTTATGGGACCACAGTTTATGGGACCACAGTATGTTTTACTAAACTCTGTATGCCACATCAAGTTGTTATGCTACACGTCTTCGGTCTTTACTTCCTCCACTTTTCTCACAGAGTTGTTATTGTTTCACTCTTTCTGGCTCATTTTCAAGTCTTAACTATGTGAGTGCCAATGGTTTTTCAGGAGATGCCCATACACATAAATAATCTAAAGGACAGGCCACCGCTGTATTACTTTTAGAGAAGCTAAAAACTGGGGAAGCCACATATTTTTAATGTGCACTCGCCAAATGTAAAACATACGAGAACATTTTACATGATGAATGGGATTCACAGAAGAGCTAATCAGACACCATACATGTTCGGCACTGAAAGAGTTAGGAGTGTATTGAAATTGCAACATTACAATTATTAAATGTGCTTTGTCTTTTTTATGAAAAGTAAATTCTAGAGAGAAAAGTGGATAAAATAAGATTTAGTTAATAGTAATAAAAAGATCTTGTAGCTAGTTTTAAAATTAAACAATATTTGTTTCTTTTTCTAGTGAGAAAAACACTGTTGGTGTGTTTTTTCAAAATCCCGCAGAGGGCTGGATTGACATTCAGTCCAATGTGGCAGACAAGGTAACACCAACAACCTGTTTACTTAGTTTACAAATGCTTGGTACACTCAGCTTGTCTTTACAGTTGCTAGATATTTCATCTTGAGTACTTGTTCACTTGCTTGTTGAATCTGCATGAAGAGATTACTGTTTCCTGTAGCTCAAGATGCTGAATGTGTATTTTGCTTAATTGGTTTCTGTTATGTTGTCAGACCCTTCAGACATGACCTTTTGTTTTTTGGTTATATTCTGTATTATGTCATTGATGTTGGAAGCTACTTCAACAAGTACCAATTTATAGGGCATACTAACTGAGTTGATATAACTTGGCCTTGGCAAAAGGCTGTTAAAAAGGGGGGGGGGGGGTAACTAGTCAGAGAGACAGAGGAGATTCAGAAAGCTTCAACAGCTGAACGCCAGTTAGTAACATAATAAAGTATTTGAAAAAAATAATGGCATTGTTAACTTTGATGTGTAAGGCTGAAAAGTGCAGATATTGCAACCTAACTGTGAGGCAAAAGACAGTACGCAACCCGCTGTTTTAAGGGTGAACACAGGAGTGCCCCATCCCCCATGCGTGAATCATTTTATTGATAAGGATTCGCTGAGTCTTCTAGTGCTCATAGTCCAACGGGATATCCATTTTTTTCTCATTTGGAAATATTCATTATTAGGATGTGTTTTGCAGTTTGTTAATTTTTTTTTTTTTTTTAAGAATTTTATCTGCAGTTAAGTATTATCATTTCTTTCATTTTAACATAAATGGTGATGGTTATATTTTACATAATCACTGCAATAATTAACAGTTGATTGTTTGTTCTTTCTATGGTATTATCTTATGTGAAAAGTTAGGTTAACTACTAATCAATAAAGGCAGAGATGTTCATAAAACAAGTTTAGGTACCATGTGAGGAAAGGGAAATGAATATTTGAAACCAGAGAGCCCGGCTCTCTAGCGAAGTTGGTTAAACCTGACTTTCGCGGCGGCCAGGTGACGAACTCCTTGTGGTCCGGGTTCACTCCCGGGGGTAGGCAGAAAAGCCACATTTCTCCCAGATTAACGGTACCTATAATGGAATCAATGTCGAAGGGTTGCGATATCCATAGTACCGAGCCAAAGGGTTTACAACTCATAGTTTCTGGATACGTTAAAAAAAGGAAAAAAAAAAAAACCAGAGCATGGTAGTGTCAATAAACCAAACAGGCAGAAATCTGTGGACAATAATCAGGTCGCATATCTTCACAAGAAGGTCTCAGAGACTACCACTTACAACAGAGCTGCAAAGGAACTCAAGAGCACATCCAACAAGACTGCTCAGAATTTGTCTGAGAATAGAAATTTGGTGGTGAGAAAGGCAGTATGATTAGTATACATAGGGCTGGAGAATTAGCTAGAAAATGAGGAAAGAGAGACTTTCCGGTGTGCCGTGATGAGAACAACGTTCTATAAAGGATCTGCTGATTGGTCATCATAATGATGCCTTTAAGGTTACCACAGCCTGAATAGAATGGGGCAACTGGGAGTGACCAGGAGATCTGGCTGACTCTCAACACTCAAGGAAAAAAAATTAGACAGACATACAGTCAGACCTGCTACTTGTCCCATCAGAATTGGGACACTGCAGTGGCCTCTGAAGATAGAGATGGGGCACTCATAGAAATGTCCGGAATGCTGTGAGGTTGGTTCCTAATTCTACTCCACTCAATCTGAGAGCAATCTCTGGACCACATTACATGAGGCAATGTATGTCTAGATGGAATAGTCTTTGTCCTGCCATTACTGAAAAATAATCATAGTACCAAGATAGCTCTTAATGTACTGGTGTTGAAACTATGCATGTCCTATATTTAATTTTAAAAAATGCATCTAATTTCAGTCTATCTTCAAAAATCTGGCTGACTTTGTGACCGGCAATAACGAGGTTCCACAGACAGATACCCATTGGTACTTTGAGGATGGCATTATAGACATCTTTGTACTGTTGGGCCCAGGACCCAAGGACATTTTCAAGCAGTATGCCAGCCTGACAGGGAACACTCCATTACCTCCAGTATGTGTAACTATTATGTAGCTTAAAAATAATGCTATGAGATGTGTCAATATATTATTGAGGATAGATGATTCATAGAATGATTCCATTGAAAAACCATCTTCATCATGCAGAACATCACTGGCATCACATCACTGGCATCACATCAGTGACATCATATCACTGGCATCACATCACTCTAGCTTTCCTGCCAGCTTTCCTGTCTTGTGAACTTTCATACCCATAGTGTCCTTGACATCATTTGTCCACCCGGTTGCTGGTCGATTCCTGCCTTTTCTTCCAGGAACCATACCTTTTATTCTATTCTTTCCAAGCGATTAGGGCATTTATTATAGCCAAAATGTAAAGTTTGCTAAGTTCGCAAGAAACAATGTTTATAAGCCACCCCCTCCCCCACAGAATCTGGTAATCTGGTAATCCTAGTTTCAGCTTCATAGCAAACGGGTCACCCCACAGATGCTCTGCTCCTGTGCCAACGAAAAACAAACGCAGCTCACAGTGTCACGCCATGCACTCAACTCAGAAGCTGGGCGACGAAACTACCCCCCACAGAATATTAAGATCATGAAGAAAATCAGGGTACTTCAATGGGAAGATAAAATACTAGGCCTTAAAATGTTCTAGGTCATAATATTATGAGGCTAAGTGGTCAGTTCTCTTATTTCTGGCCTTTCTTTCCCAAATAAACAGCATGTTAATGATGAAAGTGCCTTTGTGAATGCTCCAGCCATTGTTGACTGTTTATGGAAAATATACTAGACTAAGAAAATAACAAAAGCTTATTTCATGAGTTTTCTGTTAAAGCTGTTAACCTTTTTAAAATCAGTAGAAATTAGAGCTGCTGGCCATGGTTAGAATGCTATACTCTCTTTTAAGAGACCTGGGTTCAAACCCTCAGTAAGGTAACGGACATTTTGTTGGCACAACTTTGGCTTAGTGTAATAGCATGTGGTGAAATAGTAATATTTAATTGATAGTTAAATGGGAGCTAACTCACAAGTTTCATACTACTGTACATCTGTTGGTCCTTGGTTATCACGCTGTTTTGAAATGCTAACTTGATTTTTCACTTTTGATGTAATATTTTTAAAAAGTCAATGACCCTTTTTTAAGCTTGAAGAGGTATTAAATATAGGGTAGAGCCGTATAATCTTGAGATAAGTCGACACTCAGTATATATTGTCAGTATCGAACTGGTCACTTTATTTCACAGGAAATTTGGTGGTACTGATTTTAACCTGGATGAACTCAAGAGCCCATAATGCTAATATCATCCCTTTAATGTAAATGTTTCATGAAATATAATTTTGCTGACAGCAACACAGAAGGGACATAGATTAAAACATCTAATTGTTAGGAGGTGATAATGATGAATTATTAGATTCATAACGTTTAAAATTGCTTTTGATTTTTATGCTGAAGTGTCTTTTAATAAGCCAGTTTAAAAAACTAGATAACACTGCATATTCTTTTGTTTCTTTTCTAGGTTTGTTTCATTTGATTGATTGTAATTTTTTTTTTTCATTCTCACAGCTTTGGTCATTAGGTTACCATCAGTGTAGGTGGAACTACAATGACCAGGATGATGTAAGAAGGTAAGTGGCATGAGGTCCAATAATATTCCATGTTTGTCATATTATTTTGTTTAATGTGCATACTTTTATTATTTCTGTGTTTGACCCTAGCATTAGGGATTGAGCCCATAAGTAAGGACTAGTGAAAGTACAAAGTAAAGGATCCTTTGTATGCCAATGTCACATCAAGCATACAAGTCTAGACTTGTATTTGCATAGACCAGTTGGTAGTTGACAGATGACACGTTCAACACTAGTAGTACATTCATTACCTGATAGCTATTTTAGGCTGGGTCAGTCTTGGCAGCCAAGGTTAATTTTGAAAAAAAATCAGCCTTGTTTCGGAATCAAATCTAAGACTACTATGTTGGTAAAGACTTTGGTCAAAACATTCGGGTTTATTTGTGTACATCTTTTCCATTCTTGTCGTTGGGCTTTCTAGTCTAAATTTGTATTGTATTTAGCACTTATTAAGTCATGGAATGAAGAAAACTGGAGACAATGGAGATGTAGTAACTTTGGGATATACAGCACTGAATTAAGAACTGCTTGGGACTGAAAAAGTTAACAATTTAAAATTAAAATGTCCAGTTTCTTGTAAAGGACCTAGTTCTGTGTTTTGGGACATAGATGGCCAGTCCCATATCTTTATAGGTCAGTTGAGACACAGTAGCTTATGTGGCCAGTATCATGGGCCCCTTTACTTGCATGAGCTACAGCAGCTGTCTCCAAATAATGTGGCTCAGCGTTCTTCAACTTTTTACAGCGACTGACCAGCGAACAGGGGACCACAGACCTCCTGAAAGTTAACCAGAAAAAAACACAAAAAACAAATGTAGATAGCAGTTTGTTTGTTTTATTCGATATCACAGAAATGTGGACATAAATGTTTCAGGGACCACTAGGAACAAGAACACTGATTTAGATGACATGAATATTCCTAGGAAAATCTCAGTGGTTGATTATTTTCTTATTTACCTCAGTGTGGATCAAGCATTGGATGAGTTTGACATTCCTTACGATGTCATTTGGCTGGACATTGAGCATACAGACTCCAAGAAGTAAGTCATTTGTTTGGTTTCCTGATTTAAAAAAAAAAAATCCCCCGTGACATATAGAGAAGTGCACTGTACAAAAAACACCTTTTTCTTGCATTATTAATATTAAAGGTTTGCATTTGAGTTTTTAAACGTTGAGTTGAAGCTGTAAAGAGTAACATACTAATAATAGGCAGTATATGTTCATTTTGTTCAACTAAGTATTGCTGTGACATGAGCATTTGTTCTGGTAGTTGTGAAGATACCTAAGAGTATTAGGGACTTGGTTGGAAAAGGTGGTGGAGATTCACTAGCAGCTTCTTCTATATCTTAGAATTCACTGGCTCTAAACTCTGATGGCAAAAAGTACGTGTTAATGTCCACTTCTGGACTTTGGTCTTATTTCAGAACTTGGGTTTTACATGTACATCTGCTTTACAGATATGGCTTATTTATATGCAGAATGTTGGTTCCTTACCTTTCAGGCAAAAGCACTCTGACCTTGACGGGGAATACCCCTAATTAGTCATTTTTAGAACTTAACCCCCCCCCAACTCCCCCATCCCAAAAAAAGACAACCTACACGGGGAGTTCTTCAGCAAGATGCAGCCTAAAGACAGGTATTGTTACTTTTATTCTTCATTTTTCTATTCCACACAAATTTTTGCCTGGTTACCTTAGGTTCGAATCTGCCCCAGGAGGGATTTTGTTTACAGTTGACCCTGACCCCTGGCCGGCGCAACCTAAGTAGTACCAGTAAAATTGTCATAGCCAGTAAAAGGGGCATGACATAATTTTGACCTCAACACCCCCCTCTCCCCCCCTCTCCCCCTAGTGCCGATTGGTGTATATAAATATGAGTCTGGCACCATATGCCTGAGGTACAAGTGATTTCTTCTTCTTGGCATTTACCGGCTGTCCACGCATAAATTTTATGGTTGTTCATCCACTTCTGGATTGTAGTCCTATTCCAGAACCTGAGTGTTGTGTGTGCATACATTTTTCAAATTTGACTCATTTGCATGCAGACTGTTGGTTCCTTGCCTCTCAGGCAAATGCACTCCGACTTTCAAGGTTGCTCCCAATTAGTCGACTCTTATAACAAGCTTTTGGGTAGGCAGTGGGTCTTTTCTAGTTTTCGCTACAATAGTACCCCGGAACCCACTCGGGAAACCACTGTTTTGAAAAGGGTCGTTTACTTATTTCATGTACTTACTTGTCCACAGATACTTCACTTGGGATGTCACTCGGTTCTCCAACTCACAGGAAATGTTGCGAAATCTTTCTTCAAAGGGCCGTATGATGGTGACTATTGTCGACCCCCATCTGAAGCGTGACGACAACTACAATACTTACACTGATGCCAGAAACAAAGGACTGCTAGTTAAAAATAAGGATGGCAATGATTTTGATGGCTGGTGTTGGCCAGGTTAGAAATTTAAGAATGAAATATTCTAAAAGTTTTGAATTCATCATCATCATCCTTTTGTACTGTTACAGGTCACTTAGGGCTCGCAATTTTTTTTTCTTCCGTTCTGTTCTGTGCAGAGGTTTTAATATCATTGACAGAATCCAATCTAGCACCTGTGGCTTCTCTTATCAACCTTCATCTTAGGATTTTGTTTTTAGGTCCTCATCTCTTCAGTACATTTGTGGTGTCCCATTTCAGTGCCCGTTTGTTGGTTCTCTGTTTGGGAATCTTTAGGCCCATCAGAGATGCAAACAGCGGGGAATGGAGAGTGAGAAGCAACAAAGAAATGCATAGTCTGTTTAAATCACCAGTGATCACTGGCATCATGAGGGCTAATAAGCTCACATGCCTGGGGCATATTGAAAGAATGTCAGATGACAGAGAGGTAACAATGTATACACAAGGGAGTTGAATAGTCATAAACCCAGAGGCAGACCAAGAAGACGATGAAGAGATAATATCCAAACAGATCTACAAACACTTGTTGTCACCAACTGGAAAGAGAAAGCCAACTAGAGAGATGAACAGTGATGTCTGCAGCAATGAACCTCAAGGACTCAGAATGCTAAAGAAGAGGAAGATACCATAACATACAAACTCTGTACAATAATGCAAGAATAAAAATACATAAATAAAAATGCTACTCAAACTGGACCACAGGTTACTTTATAACCATTTAGTAGTGCCCAGTAGAACTGTGCTGTCCGGTTGAACAGGTTTTCCAGGGTTTTTACCTGTGTGATTCTCATTCTTAAGATGTTAATCCTACAGACTGCTGACCTGAATGAGAGAAACTAAAATAACAAGAAAACCAAAATGCTAAATATGTGAAAGTGAATAACGCTACACATGCATACAACAAGTTCATGAAAATTAATGCCAGTTACACAAAAATGAATAGTAAATTAAACTAATTTTGTTTGTGTTTTACACAGGTATGCTTCTATGTATGTTTCAGGTTCATCTTCATGGCCAGACTTCCTGGAGGAACATGTGCGCCAATGGTGGGCCGATCAGTTTTCCATAGAAAACTACCAAGGGTCTGCCCCCAACCTCTATGTGTGGAATGACATGAATGAGCCGTCAGTGTTTAACTCCCCAGAGATCACTTTTCCCAAAGATGCCAAACATCTGTCCGGAAGGGAGAATAGAGAAGTGCACAATGTTTATGGGATGCTGGTGGTAAGTCATTGGCTCAGATGACTTTGCATTCTTTGTGTGGAACATGATACTGAAATATTGACTTTCGTTTAGCCTTCTTCCTGCCTTCCCTCTTCTTTTTCTCCTTCCTCTTCTTTGTCTCCTTTCTCCTCTTCCTTCTTCTTCTTCTGCCTCTTGTCCTGCATTAGAGCATAGATGTTCAAACAACTCACACTAGGTTGTCCCATTAGTTGCCTTTCTACATGTCAGATCATTCATTTCTTTCTTATTATTTATTTTCTTAGGTGTGGTTTCTATTTCTTTTACTGTGTAGGTTCCAGTGAAAGAAATATGTAGCTTTGGTTTATTTGACTGCATTGTTTCTCACTTATTATTATGCTTGCTGTTCTTATTGTTTTAATTTGGAATTTCTTCTGTAATTTCTTAGAATTTTACAAGCTCTTTTCTACTGAATGCATTTGTCCAGGTTTGTTTCATTGTTTGTTTTGTCTGTGCTTGGCCAATGCTGTCTCAGTAACATTGTTGTGAAATTGCAGTAAAGTGATCTACTGTAGTGTATATCAGCAGAAACAGTCAGATTTCTTAGTAGGCTAAAACCAAATATACATTATAAAGGAAAACACAGTGCATTGTTGGAGACCCACAAGCAGTGATCTTAGAGAGGATTTTTGTTTAAAGAAGTGATTTTACTTTGAATATTGATAGTAGTGGAAGTAAAGGTGTTTTTTGTGTTACATTATTTATTCTTTAATAATGTTATGAATTTTTTGATTTAGTAAAGATCTTTGTTTCTTATGTTACATATTAATTTATCTTATTTACTATTACTTTTTTCAAGCACCGTGCCACATTTGAAGGTTTACTAAAGAGAAGTGATTACAAAAAACGACCATTTGTGTTAACAAGAGCCTTCTTTGCTGGGAGTCAGAGATCTGGTATGTGTTTAGTGTTTGCTGGTTTAATCTTTTCTGATATTCAAAGTCTTGTGCTTAACAAAGCTAGGTGGCTAGCAACATTGCTGCACGTTGGGCATTCCCAGTCCTTCAGTGCAGCAGCTGTCAACATTAAATTTTGTTTTCAATAGTTAAGCACCTAGAACGAAACCAATTTGAATGGTCATTCTATATTTTGGAATCTTCTGTAGCTAACTCCGTGACCTCCCAGCATTATGTGTCTGTCTATAATTCTCTTATCCATGTTTGTACGTCTCCCTCTGCCTCAGTTGCCCTGTGGGTTTCAGTGCAAGGACACAGAGGATACAAGGGCAAGTCAATAAGTAAGTCACAAATGGTTATGGGATGGCAGGAAAATGTAGTTGTTCCTGTAACCAAATCTATCTTGGTGCTGTAACAGCGGTTGTGTGGACAGGTGAAGATTAGAAGAGCAGAATGTTAGAAGGGCCTGTGCGCCAAGTTCTCAACCCTTTGAAAATAGTTGATTCATTCATTCTGTATTTGCTGTGTGTGCATTCATCAAGGCTAACATTTCTGTCTATCTCCTGTAGTCTCAATCATGATATCACCATTAACTGTGTACACATTTTTTTTTTTACCTAGCCAGTTTATGTTTTGCCTGTAACCAGATCCATCTCTGTACTCTAACAGCGGCTGTGTGGACTGGGGACAATATGGGTGAATGGAGTCATCTGAAAATCACCGTGCCAATGATGTTGTCCCTCAACCTGGCAGGCATTCACTTCTCTGGTGCTGATGTGGGAGGATTTTTCCGTAACCCGGACAATGAACTCCTGACCCGCTGGTATCAGGTAAATTTGGGATTTTATTTTTACATGGAGATTTTTACTAATTATAAAATTTCACTGGAGAGTTAGAGTTTACTTTGATTGTGCATTATATTCAAATAAATAAGTGGCATTTTTTTTTAACCAAAAGAAGTTGCAAATGACAAACTTTTGTTTAAAATATTTTTAAAAAAAAAGCTATTTCAACAATTTTCAAAATAGACTTGGACTTTATGTAAAAAAGGCACAAACTGACATTTTTGGTGACATCAATATTGCATGTTAAACCTGCATATACACTTTTTTAAAAAAAAAAAACAGTTTTAGAGACGATGCAGTGGCCCAAACCGAAAAGGGTTGTGTGGTTTTAAATATCTAGGAAAGCACATAAAATAATATTTCAAATAAAGCCTAAAGAATTGTCTTGATTTTAAAACACTTTCATTGGTTGCAAATGCTGCCATTTTCTGCATATTGAAAGGCACAACAAATATTAACCTTGCAGTGTATGAATACAACCCCTGTAGATTGCTATTGAATGTGACACTCTTCACAATGCCTAACAAAGGCTAGCCCTCATATAGATTGCTATTTAATGTGACACTCTTCACAATGCCTAACAAAGGCTAGCCCTCATAAATCAGAACTATTCAACTAAGTTTACTCAGGGGCCCAAATATTGGAAAACGGTGATCGTCGCGGGCCAGAAGCCAGTCCTAGCATAGAAAGTTCATTAATACAATACAACTGGCATTGATCTGCAGGCGACTTGCTAGGCCTTCGTGGGCCAGATTTGGCCCTCGGGCTGCCAGTTGAAGATGAAGAGCCCTGTCATAAAGTATTAATTTGCATACACACATACATAGCATGGGGTAACAGTGATGGTAATATAGTTTCCCATTCTCTCATCATAGAGAATGAAACATTCATTCTTAACCCCCCCCCCCCCCCCCCCCCCCCCTCCTTTTCATGTGGGGAAAAAAATAGACACACTGCACCCTTTGCAAGCAGGTTTTAAAAGGCCTCTAATTAAGAGTGTTTCCCTTGAAGTTAGAGTGTATCTGCCGAGAGTCTGCATGCAAATAAGCCAGATCTGTAAAACGGATGTGCACACAAAACTCAAGCTCTGGAACAAGACCAAAGTCCAGAAGTGTCTGAACAACCAACACTTTCTGCTGTTGTTTGCAGCTGGTGAATGCTAAGAAAAAGAACTTTACAATAGGCGGAAGAAAAAATTAAAATTCATATCTCCTGCAAGTGCTGAAAAAATTTTTTTTTTTTTTTTTTTTTTTGGCTGAATTTAGTCCAGATTATTATCCATTAGATATACATTTGCAGAGATGTAATTTTTGTTTTCCAGGCTGCCTTATTCCAGCCGTTTTTTAGAGCCCATGCTCACATTGATACCAAACGCAGGGAACCTTATCTTCTACCTGAAGAAAACATGGTCATCATTCGAGAAGCCATCAAGAAAAGATACACCTACCTCCCTTATATGTATTTACTGTTCTATGAATCTGAAAATACTGGTATGCCACCCATGCGTGCCTTGTGGATGGAGTATCCAAAGGAGACCAGAACTTTTGAAATGGATGACGAGTTTCTTTTGGGTGAGTTTGGGAATAATGAAGATCAGATGTGGCTGATTTTGATAAGCATGAACAGATGTTTATTATTTTTTCTTTCTATGCATATGTGGTCGGTCGAGTGGGTGGATTTCGAAATGGATGACGAGTTTCTTTTGGGTGAGTTTGGGAATAATGAAGATCAGATGTGGCTGATTTTGATAAGCAGGAACAGATGTTTATTATTTTTTCTTTCTATGCATGTGTGGTCAGTCGAGTGGGTGGATAGGTAGGTGACTGTATGCAAGTGTTGAGAAGAGGAACAGAATTTATTTTAAATGTTAGCAACATTGAGTTCATGTCATTGTGACTTGCTAGATCAGATTCCTCCTGTACCTGTGTGAGTTAATAATAACTGGTTTTAGACAGAAGGATTAGGACACATGTAACACACTGTATGTCTAGATTATGTAATGACCCAATATCCTTATGCTTGCCTACCAGGCCTATGAATATAGATTATTATGTAATGACCTAATATCCTTATGCTTGCCTACCAGGCCTATGAATATAGATTATTATGTAATGACCTAATATCCTTATGCTTGCCTACCAGGCCTATGAATATAGATTATTATGTAATGACCTAATATCCTTATGCTTGCCTACCAGGCCTATGAATATAGATTATTATGTAATGACCTAATATCCTTATGCTTGCCTACTAATGCAATGAATGTAGGTTATTATATAATGACCTGATATCTTTATGATTACCTAACAGTCCAGTGAATGCACGCTAGAATCAACATTGAAACAATGAGTGACTTTTGACATTTCGTTCACAAGTGTGAAATTTCTGGGAGTCATCTCTGGAGCTACAGTATTTCTAGCTTTGTCCAATGATCTCAGGCGCAAACAGTCATTCTGCAGAGAGAGACGAAGCTATAAGAGATAAAACATAAAGCACTACTTTTGCTTTTAACCCCCTTTTTTAGCATCTTATTGTTGATATGAGGAGCTGTGGTAGCATAGTGGACAGACACTCACCTGTCACTCCCAGAGCGCTTGAACCCGCATCGAGTTGATCTGTTTCAGAATTAACTTTGGCTATCTGATCGACCCAGCCAAAAATGGGTACCAAGCAGTATCTTGGGAAGTAAACGCTGCTGAATTATGTTGACCACATCACCAGTTGAGTGCTGATTTGTCTATAAAATATGATTCTGGCATCATAAGCTTGATCCCCCACTGGGGGGGGGGGGGGGGGGAAGGTACTTTTACTATTGTTGATCTACTTACAATTGCATAGTAGTAAATGATGAATATCTCTGCCTGTCTTTTACACTCAGATATCTATCTCTTCATCACAGGGGATGCTCTGCTTGTGAAGCCAGTTGTGGAGCAGGGTCAGACAAGCACCACTGTCTATTTCCCAGGAGATGATGTATGTTTTACTTAAATCTACACTGATTTGGTATTGGAAATACACTTTTTAAAATCATTCCTATCTTCTTGGTACAAATCCTATTCCACCTCCTCACAAGAATCATCATCATCAAAATCATAAACCACTCCTGCAAACCACATTGCACATGGGCAAGTCAGCTGGAAATTCATTGCCATACCCTCACTGTCCAACATTGTTTTGATTTCGCCATTGATATTCAGGAAGCTATACCAAACTGCTGAATGTAAAATTGCCTTGTTGAACCCTAAAAATTCTGAGGTTGGTTTATGATGAAGGGGATATGCTACTAACTTTAAACCCTCACTGCCACCACTGGGTTTTGAAACTTGTACATAAATATTAATTTTGAATAATAACTCGACTTTTGCAACAGTGTGAATTTATATAACTGACCTGTTATTTCCCAACAGATCTGGTACGATATTGACACCTATAAGACATACCATGGGAAGCAGGAAGTTACTGTGGATGCTCCATTATCAAAGGTACTTGTATGTGTTTTTGCTTGGTCACATTCAGGTTGAGGTACAGCAGAGTCAAGATGAAAATTGTGTTTATTGTGGTCTTATTTCACTATAAAGTTTCTGTTGCATCAGTCTTTTTGTGCTTCTGGGACAGGGCTATTCAACTGACTGCCCACGGACAAGATATGGCCCTGTTGTACACTCTTTTGTTGTACACTCTATATTCAACACGTATGTTTACGCACTGATACTCCTTAGTATCAGTAACCAAGTATTTAGGCTTAGGGTGCCTACTCTAATATTCCGCTGGATATCTCCTTGATGGATGTGCTACAGTGGAGTCCTGCATACTATACTAACTGGCACACTTGGCACAGCATCATCTAATACAGTTGTTATCTTTACGAGTCAACAATAACGCTTGTGACAGGCCACATAAACTTTAATGTCATTAACATTACACGTCACAAGATGATGATGATTATTCAGAAAAACATGTACGATAATAAATCTCTATTATCTACTCTGATGATATAAAAGATTACAATCTTTTCTCAATGGACTCCTGCCATTATAATAACTAATCAGACATTAAACTGTCTCCGGCAAACAACGGTAAATCAAAACCTTACAAAGAGAAACGTTTTATAATATTCTCATACAGAAAGCCCAACACAATGTTTCCGCTAACCCCGCGGAAACACGTCTCACTTGGACAAGGGAAATATCTCAACAGCCTGGGCCTTTGTCTTCATCGCCCAGAATTCAGTTAGCTCATGAAATTACCATCACCTAGGTAACGACCCGTGGCCGCTGTCTGAACTTTCACTTGTGCTGTTACCACTAGAAGAATTTTAACTGTCGGCCAATAAGATTACAACAGGCCCCCGGAGGCTTAGCAAGTGGCCCGCGGATCACTGCCATATATGTAATTATGGTCTTTATTTGCTTGGGCTCGAACCTTTGCCCCTGGCGATCCCTATTTTCGCAATTTTGGTCCCTAAGTAAACATAATTGAATAGCCCTATATTCTCTGACATGCAACTTCCCTGTGTGGTTTCTGGGGGCCCCATTGTGGGGAGAACCAGAATAGACCCACTGCCTCCTCATCAACATGTCGTAGGAGTCTGCTAATTGTGGGCTTCTTTCTAAGTCAGAGTGCATCTGCCTGAGCGGCAAGGAACAACCAGCTGCACACAAATAAGCCAGTAAAATGGATGTACACGCGCAACTCAGGCCTTGGCACAAAGCCAAACCCGATGGACGAACAGCTAGGACTTTCCACTAGAGCTTATAGCCAGTGCACAAAGAAGAAAGAAGAAGAAGGATATGTGACTAAGGCCACCATGTTGGTAGGTCAGTAGGCTCACCGTCCCACAACAGTTTCAGTTTATATTGTCACTGTAGTAGTATCTTTGTCTTCTGTGTTCATCCTTAAGAGGATATTTTGCATAATGTGTTGTGACTTACATCTAGGCTGCAATGTCTTCATCTTTCAGCTTTTCAGCTCAACACATCCCATCTCAACAAATTAGTAATTTATGACATGCTTGTGGCGTGGTGATTTATGTCACAGGCGTGAGGGAAAGTTAAGTCCAACATGATGTGTATAAGGAGATACTCCGTACGTCACTCGGGCCCCAGTCCTTCACTGTTCTGGTTTTACGGAGCCTCACGTAAGACCCCTGCAGCACGCCCTCGTGTGGCGCTACAGACAATGTCTCAAATGAGCATTAACAGAGCTTTCAGGGGATCTCGGAGTTTGGTGGCCCCCCAGAGGTGATGTGTCCTTGTGGCTCTCATCAGCTGGCCCCCAAACGCATGGGTGAAAAAGGTTATCAAAACTCATTAGGAACATGAGTAAAGTGCTTGCCAAACGTACAACTAAAATTACAACCTTTGGTTAAAAGATTGCGGAGTGAAGAGAACATTGTTCTGCTGAGACTCAACCCTTGACCTAGAGATTTACCTGCAGCACAGATGAGTAACATCTCCTGGGGGTGGCGTCTCGCAGCAAGATTCTACCCATGTACATTCTCTGTTAACCCTTAGTGTCGTCGTCACCGCGCTGAGGTACACAACAGCAACAGCCCATTGGCTGGCTAAGCCTAAATGTCCGACAAAACTAAATCCTACGGCACAGGAGTAAGCTCAAAATCCGACCATCACACATCGTATTGAATGGGAAAAAGTCCAAATGTCCATACCCAAAGACCCCTCTCGCCCGAGTGTTGGGACCAAACAGATAACGATATGCCTGACGCAGGATGTTAAATTCTGTCGCGCTAACCGCTCGTCAAAGATATCTAACGTGCGAAGAAAAAGAATGTACCTATTCGTGTGGTCACAAAAGTCCAGAACCCGCGGGCTGCTCCCCGCTGATTTCCGGAGGTCGCAGCCTTTGTAGAGCGGGAGGCTTTATACGGTTGTGAGGTTAAGCAGGCATGTGCAGGACGTGACGATTCCTTGGGTGAGCCCAGAACCAGAGCGCCATGTGCCGGCTCTGCATACATGGAAGCCTCCTTGGTTGGCGGGGAATGCCCATTATCTGCCTCTGCCTTCCCTTGAGGGCTTACCGTTCCACAAGGGGCTGCCCCAAAGGGGAACTCCGGGGGCAACACCTGCGGAGAAGGCGACAAAGAGGACACCACACAAATCAGGCAACGTCTCGACCCACACAAAACAATGGCCACAGTCATCCTAGAAATAGGCCTGACACCTTCCCTCGAAATCGGAGTACATCTGTCCACGAGGCAGGGAACAGCAAAACGGTTGTACACGCAAAACTCAGGTCCAGGTAAAAGCTAAAAGTCCAAGCAGACGATTAACCTGACAGCTGGTGAACGAAGAAAAAGAAGATGACATACTTGTTGAAAGGGGGAGAGGGTGGTGTAGACTTGCGCCCTCTCCTTCAAACAAGCATGACATAAATTACTAATTTGGTGAAATCAGATGTGTCTACATCCCCCCCCTTTTTTCCCCAGGAATGAAGTGCCTGCTGCCTGGGCGGTATTGTAGATATCTTGTGTTGTCAGTCTAGCATCATCACTCTCTGGGCCTGCCTTGTTTACTCCAAAAGAAAGGTAGGTAGGGCTGAGAGGACAGGTGCAACTTACAGTCAAAATGGGTGTTAGACAGTCACTGTGATAATTTTATGTGTGCTTCTGACAAAAAGTGGCACTTGCATTTTCTTCCAATTGTGTACTGAAAGGAAATATAGTTTTGTCCCCTAGCTACTGAGTTGAGTGCATGACACGACACTGTGAGCTGCAAATTTTATTTGGGATGTTTTTTGACTGTGACCAATGTGGGGTTGTTAATTAGATTCGAGAAATTGGTGAATGGCCTGTTGCCATAGAATTGGTGGTGCTTTATATGATTAAAATTGATTACCTGTGCAACTACTAATCTGTTTGTAACAGCTGCTTCTTTCGAGGATGAACTGCATTTCTAGTGTTGGTCTGTTTGTGTTGGCACTTCTGATAGCTGCCTTATGCTTTTAATGCATGTGTATGCTAGTGGACATGCTGGGACTACAATGAAGGACATTCTGTGTGTTTTTCTTTAGTATAGGAGTGGGGCAAACTATGAGGTGACGCGTTTGCTATGAGGCTAAAATTACAGATAGTGCTTGTAAAACAGAACAGTTTAGGGATGGATCCGGATAGTTGTAGGCAGTTTTGTTGGTTCCATTGACCCGCGCTGAAACATTTACTGAAATGGGTACCACAATGCACATTGAGTGCCTGTTGTTCTGAAAATCCTCTGGCACCATATACCCAATAAGCTTCAGTGCTACTGTGTTTCTCCAAAAATTAGACCTAACCCAATAAAAAGCTCAAGCAAGATTTTCACTATGCTCATAGTATAAGCCCCAATATAAGCCCTACCCTAAATATAAGCCCTGGTTAAGATTAAGAGAGTCAGCCAGATAGACAGATTTCATTCATGGGTTTAAACACAACGGATTTTTTGAATTAGAATTAAAAATTAATAAATGCATAAATAAATAATAACAAAGCTGAAATTTTTAACATTAATGCTGTAAACAAATGGCAATATAAATTATTATTATTCATTTTTAAAAAATTAAAAAAAAAGTAATATGACATTCTCTGAAAAAGCCCACATCGTCTGTTTAAGCAGAAATTAATATAAGTCCCAGTTTTATTTTTTGGGAAACATGGTAGTACCCATAGCTATTACAATATTCTGTTAATTTGTTAATAGAAACTTTGTGTGTGGATGTTGATCACAAATGTTTTTGTTTTGTTTTGTTATTTAGGGCAAAGCAGAAGGAAAGGGGGGGGGGGGGGGGGGGGGAGACAGCTGTTTTATTCACCCCCCTCCCCTCCATCTACTACCTACGCTGTAGTAGCTGGTGTCAAGAATAATTGACTAAACTATGACTACGAAGCTTAACGACATTAGGAAGGGGGAAAACACATACACAGTACAGCTGAAATTTCGACAGAAGCCTTTTTCAACAACAACAAAAACCACAGGGGGAAATTATAACCTGCAAAAAATATTAGTCTTTGAAAATTATATTCTCCCCTTATAAGATTTTTTATTTATTAGATTATCATTTCCCTTTGTTATTCTGGTATTTGTGCTAAAACATCTGATTGTTTCTCTTTATATGGTTTTCCCCTTCCGACCTTCATTCAGTTTTTCCTTCAGTTTTGTGGATTATTTCTGGTAGATGTGAACACAAGCCAAGACAGTATAGAAAGAGAACAGTAGTAATTTCCACACGCTTTACATTTGTTGTAAAGGGGGTGGGGGGGGGGGGGGTGTTGGAACAGCATGTATGATTATGTTCAAAGAGCTGTCATATCATATCAGTTTAAGCTATAATGTCAGTTAAACAACAATATCTGTTTTTTTTACTATCCACATGATAAGTTGACCTTTTATAATTAATTTTTTGTTTTTGTGAGCCGTGTAGTTCTCAGATGTCATTGAACTTTATTGTGAGCCATGTTGTTGTCAGATGTCATTGAACGTTACTGTGAGAGGTGTTGTTCTCAGATGTCATTGAACTTTATTGTGAGCCGTGTTGTTCTTAGATGTCATTGAACTTTATTGTAAGCTGTGTAGTTCTCAGATGTCATTGAACTTTATTGTGAGCTGTGTAGTTCTCAGATGTCATTGAACTTTATTGTGAGCCGTGTTCTCAGATGTCATTTAACATTATTGTGAGCCATGTAGTTCTCAGATGTAATTATCCTAGTATGAGTTTTGGGGCCCTATTTTCACACTTCTGGTACCAAGGAACTCACAATACATTTATTGGTTACATTGTATGTGGTTCTTATTTTTTGTACTTTTATTATCCCTTTCTTTTATAATGTTAACCCATTATTTTTCCAGCTGTTATATAATACCTTCTCTTCTAAAGTTGTATATTTCAGTTCTTTGAGACTTAACTACTCTCCATGTTCATCAGCTGTAAACTCTGGCTGAAAATTCTTTATACTCATCCGCCTCCAGACTTAAGACTTATTCCAGAACCTGAGTGTTCTGTGCACATTCTTTTTACACATCTGGCTTATTTATATGCAGACTCTTGATCCCTTGCCTCTCAGGCAGATGTACTCTGACTTTGAAGGATGCCCCCCCCCCCCCCCAAATAGTCGACTCCTATGACTTGCTTGTTGGGGATGCATTAGGACTATTCTTGTTTTTCCCACAAAGGGGCCCTGGAACCCACACTGGGACGCTTTAGGATACAAACCTGTTGCAGATACATTGTTGAATTCAAAACCACCTGGGACTGAAAGAGTTAAAGAGAGAGAGGGGAAAAAAAAAGAAAATACCAGCTGCTCCTTAACAGACATATGGTAATAGGCAACTAATTAAGGATTTGCTGAAATCATGCGCATTGCACAATAAAGTGCAGATATCACAGTCTAGCTGTAAACCACAGTACATCATGCCAACCACCCTTTCAAGGGGGTATGCAGTAGAAGAAATGTCATATATGGTGAATGGTGTTCTCAAAACTCTTGCCCCTTAGGTTTCTTTTTTCCTAAGGAACAACAAAGTTCTCAAGAACTTGTCTTGTTTTAAAGTGGGAGAGTTAGAAAATAAACTAGTTTACTTCCCACTTCAAATATTATGATATTTATGAGTGCAAATGCATTTCAGAAACCTTCACAAAGGATGCAAGTTCACTACAACAGAGTGGATTGAGAGAGTCATTATTGTGGGAGTTAATACAGAGCCTAAACATATTCATTTAGTCATCGGAGGTTTGTATGGTTACTTTGTCTTCTTTACAGTGAAAAACACAAGATCTTGCTTATTGATTAAAAAAATACCCACATACATGCTTGTTCATGTATGCACTCAAGGAATGTTATGCACTCAAGGAAATAAAAGAGCAGACAGACTGGCCGTGTCTGCAGTAGTTAGTGGAGGAAGAAACATGAACAGGTCAGACACTCTAAATAAGCATTCAAGAGCTGTTGAGACAAAGGAGATGATAAACCTCCCATTGGAAATATGTATTAAGCGAGGACAAGAATGCATAGACACTAGTTGTGCAGCAGAACAAAGATTTGCTAATTAACTGCTACTTGGTACACTGGTTATAAAGATACTAAGATGGCTACTGCATCTTAGGATGGAGCAAGAATGGGTCAGACTGTTGTGCTAGGATGTAGATACTGATAACAAATAACAATTTATGCATGTGTGTACCCACAGAATGTTGTATATAATCTGTGGAATCAGCAGTTTGTGTAAATGTGTGGTCCTCAAAATGAGTGACTGATGAACTACAGGACAGTTTACTGAAAATTGAAAATGCATGCAGCATATTAACCCTAAATCACGATTAGATTTAGATTTCTGCCAGTTCAGGGGACACACAATTTACCAAGAGGTCACATGAGATGATCTTTTATTTGTACGCATATAAACTATATCTTTTCATTATCCCAATACCCTAATACTCTTTCTTTATCCCCTGATTTGTATAACATTACTTAAATATTTGTTGTTTCATATAAATTTCTTCCTTAACTGATACATCCTTATCATTTATTGGCTCTTAACACTGTATAACAGTGTTTTTTTTTTTTTACTTGTTCCAAATGATGTGGTTATTCTAGGGCTCTACTTCCCATTGCTGTTAATACAATGGATAACATCAAAGCTACACCTGTGACCACAAACCAGAAGTCTACAAAGGAGAGGGGAAAAAATTTACTTTTGGAAGAGTTGCTCAGGCGATCAATGTAAAATCTCAGATGTAATCCTGACTTTGTGTGTTTCTTTCAGACAATAAGGTGGAGCTGGAACACAAGTATGACCCCCAGACCAAAGTGCTCACCGTGCGAAAACCTGGAATTAACATCGGCGAAGAAAAATGGGTCATCAACCTACATTAATGTTTCTCATTGACAAGCTGTTAATTCTTTCAAATCTGCACTTTGTTTAGATAGTAATATAAATGTGCGTTGGCATTAAGTGTTACAGTTTCTCAGCTAAGTTTTCTGTTTATACGAGTTCCTTAAAAATAACTGTTTAAATATTTGCCAAAGCGTATGCATTTGTTTTCCTTGATTAAGTGCAGTTAGTTGTTCATTAAATGGTTTTTGTTTGTCAAATGTTACTCTTTAAAAAAAAAACTGTCAGAGATAAGATATTTTTTCCCAGGGGATCACAAAGTTGTTGTTTGTCAGATGGCCTCCCTGTCTTGGATTGTCAGTGTGTCAACTTTCAGTGGCAACCGTGTCATGAATGGATTTGTCAATTGGAGAAGCTTATGGGGGTCACTGGGTGTACTACTGGTTGTGAGAACATTTGACATACCAGCTCTTCTTCTGGCAGAGGTTTTCAAGAGAATGGTTTATTGTTGAGCCACTTAAACCTGTTCAGGACCAAGAGGATTTATGAAGTAATACAACGTTTTTAGACATCAAAGAACCTTTTTTATAATGCTATTTATGCTAACATTAGGCACATCATGCTCTACCTATATTTATAATGACTTAGGTATATGTTTTAAAAGTATTGTTACATGCAAAATAAGAAAAACAAAATTATAGATTTATTGAATTTCATGAAACGGGGGTTGTGAATTGGCTAATTTAACAGCAGTAATTAACAAACACTGATTTGTAAATTCATATTGTGAATTTCATTGGGTTAGTAGATATTCACTAAGACAAAAAGCAGCACTTAGTGCTTAGTTTACTAATTTGTTAGTCTGAAAGAGTTTTTGTTTTAAAGCAGACAGTGAAACTATGTGTCGTCTCAAGAGAAAAGTGAACAAGTGTTTCAGACTGATAGAAGTAGAAAAATAAGAAGCATTTTATTTCAAATTTATATCATAGTGTAAGTGTCTGTCTGCTGTGTACATTGGGTCACTGAGTCGCTGTTTGTTGGGCCTTTCTTTCTGCATCCGATGATCAAATGCAGTTGATATTTGCTAATTTTTGGCCCATCAAGTCTGCCAGATTTTAGAGCTAGGTACTTCTTGGCCTCTATCTCTAGCATTATACTATGCTTTGTAGAATGATTTTGGAAAAGCTAGGCGATCTTGTCACATGTCCACACTTTTATATTTTGAGTCATTTTATTTGTTGTTAAAGAAAAATAAAAGAAAGATTCCTAGATGTGTTCACTAAAGATTGTAAATTAAAGTACTGAAATTTTAATAATTAATCGTGATTGTTTTAGTAAAAGTGATGTATTGAAATGTTTCAAAAGCATAGTTTATTAAGATATTGTACTTAAGGTTCACATTACTACCATGTACAATGTCTAATCACATGTTAATGTGTATATTTGCCTTCCATAATTACTCTTCATATCTGGTTTTACATTCCCTCAGACAGCTGCTCATTTATGACATGTTGTCCTGGTAGACAGTGTTCAGAAATGTGTTCTGTTGTGTAAGCTGGCATTACCAGTGCTGTTCTGAGCTCAATCATTTTTAATGGCTAGTTCCATAGAGGGAATTAAATGGTATGATAGAATCACTAATGTAGAGCTTTGGGAGAAAACTAAGCAAGCTCCAGTGGACCAAGAGGTAAAGAAAAGATGCTGGCATTAGATAGGACACACATTGAGAAAACCTAAGAACAATTAAACTAGAATGTCTTTGCATTGGAACCCACAGGGGAATTGGAATAAAGGAGGGCCAAAAAACATGAAGGGAGCTGGAGAATTAAGCTAGAAAGGTAGGGAGGACATGGAGAGACTGTATGCGATAGAACTACTGGGCGTGGGTTGATTGGGGGCCTATGCTCCATTAAGGGCTAGAAAGGCAGAAGAAGAAAAAGAAAGAAGTTCTATTATCGGCAAGTCTCTTCTAGATGTGGCTATATACGTATTCAGAAACTCAGGTTCTCTTACTCGTGTAGACTGTCTCATTTAAATTGTTTTATTTATAAAAAAAATTTCGAGTCATTTCCTTCATTCAGACTTTAAGAACAACAACATAGTCTATCTCTTTATAAATATAGTAAAGTTAGGTAAAGGTCCCTTTTCAACGCCTTTAGGTGTATTGGGAATCAAAGGCTAGACCTAGATTTGTATAGAACAATCGGCACTTGGTGGCTGATGTGGCTAGCATCATGCCTGCTAACTTGACTTCCCAGGACTGCGCCTGGTAGCCACTCGAGCAGGGCGGACCTAGGAGCCAAGAAAACAAAAGTCAGGCTCCGGCAGGGCACCAACCCACGACCTTCTGATCCGCAGGTGGGCATCTAGCTGCCAACGCCACGGCGACTTTATGAAACCTGTACCAAAACATTTTTGCAGTGGTGATGACTGTGCTAGCTGCTTCATTGCAGTTGGAAAACTGTTTTAGTATCACAGATATATCTTTCTGCCCCAGAAACCTTTTATTGTGATTAGGCCATACTTGGGTCAGAATAGGTTGATATTCATGAAAAAAAAATGGATTAAAATATCAGTTAAGGGCAAAGTGAGTTCATGTTAACAACTGGATATGGTTTAAGGAATTGAGCAGAAGTTTAAAAATAAGGACAACCAAATGAGCTGCTTGATATTAAAAGCCAGAAGAAATCAGTCAAGATTGAGAAAAAAAACACAGTAGCCACATTTGTGTTGACTGCGTACAAAGTGCATTTTGCTTGAAGACGTGTGGTCAGCATGTGGTGTTTCAGTGAGGCTGTCAGACATGTGAGGTTGAATTGTCACATTTTTACTGGTTTTCATGTTTGTTAGAAATGTGTTTGCTATATTTTGTCAAGAATAGATTTGTCATTAATTAAACAGTTGCCACAAAGCTTCATTCACCTTTCAGCTGTCATTCTTTTTCTTTACGGTATGCTACATTTTTTTGTTGGTTCCAAATATAGTAAATTTTGAGTCAAAGCAAAGGATGTTTTTAATGACGTCACTCTCGCATTGAGAGGAAAAACAAAAACACAAAAAAACATTGCTTGCATATCCTTTACAAGATGAATATATTATGGTTTTTTAAGTCACATTTTACATTCACTTTGTTTGCCATTTCTTTGTGAATCGTCGGCTCTCGGTACTACTGTCAAAACTAGCGTGTGGTGGTCTGCTGCCATATCACCTGCAGCTGGGATCGAACCCGGCAGTCTAAAATGAATTTGCACTGCGTAAGCCAGTTAAAAAAAAAAAAATCATTTATGACCAATGTATAGGGGGTGTCGATTGTAATATCAGAAATAATAACACATGGAAAACTGCACTGAAGATTGCACAGGACAGGAAAGCATGGAAAGTCTTCTCTGAAGCCTCATGTGCCACTAGGCATAATGAGAACTGATGATTGTAATAACACAACGTACTGGATTACTGTAGGAAAGAGGCTTTACTTACTAGATTGTAGAATTTAAAAACTGCTAATGTAAGGTGGCTAACTAAACAAAAAATATTTTAAGCAAGGCAGACTTGATTATGGAAAATTTATTCACTGATTATCCGGTTGTGTCATTATATGTCTCACAGGGCTCGCATACCATGGATTGAATCCACTCCAGCACCTTTGGCCTCTCTCTTTGACATTTGTTTTAGGGTTTCTCTTTGATGTCTTCATTTACTCAAGCCCTCTATTTCCCATTTTGGTGCTTGTTTGGTGATTTCTCATCAGGATCTGTCCATTGTATTGCCCATCTTGTTTGTCTTATAACTATTGTTACCGGTGGTTTACCAGACATTTCTGTTAGTTTTCCCCCACCCCTCTTGAAATCGTCCAGTTCGTGTTCAACATTTTCTTCAGGTATTTGACGCTCACATATATACACATATAAATATACACTTCGTAAAGCTCCATTCTACTTCTAACTCTAGCGTGAGTCTGAAGAAACTCAGCACAGTACACAAACTTTTTAGCACCGCCGAGGATCCTGAAATACTTTGGGTAGATTTTTGCCAGGGCAGCGCCATTTGGCTACTCTTTCTGATTTCCACCTGCCAAGGTATTTTGTACGTGCGCAACAATACCCACAGGCGTCTGATCTTACTATCCAGAGACCAGGAGAAATTACTAGAAGTCCATGTGAAAAAAAATTTCCGGCCTTCATCAGGGCTTGAACCCGGGACCTCCAGCACTTGAGGCGGATACTATACTATGTTGAATTTCTTGGACAGGAATGGACACATCAAAGTTGATTTCTTGCCTTGTTGTGAAACACTATAAAGGTCAGCTTATATAGAGTTAAGACAGGAACTAACATCACAACACTTGGATCATTTCCACAAACAACCCATTCTCATCTTCAGCAGCCAGTGAAAGTTCAAGGCTGATTGTACCAGTAGCAGTTTGATTTTGCACTAAACAACTAAAAGGCACCAGAAATGAAAGCAGCTGATGTTAACTAATTCTGATGTGATGAAAATGACATTAAAAAAATTTGGTTGGCTCTAGTTTTCAAAATATACTCTTTAGGACCAAATTATACAAATTTTGGTCCGTCTAGTGTTTTCTCACAGGGTAGAGGTTTGGTCAGCTGACACAGAATGTTTATGTTCCCATAAGTACTTCTACATTCTCTGATTATGAATTCATTTGATACACATTCTCTAGTTTTTGTTGATTCACCATGTGGGGTCTGGGGCCCCATTGTGGGAAAAACAAGTATAGACCTACTACCTGCCCCAATAAGCATGTGGTAGGAGTCGACTAACTGGGGGCATCCTTTGAAGTCCGAGCATTTCCTGAGAGTCAAGGAACCAGGATCAGCATAAAAATTAGCGAGATCCATGAACGGATGTACATGCAACACTCAGATTCTGGAATAAGACTAATGCTTGGAGGTGGATGAACACCCATAACTTTCCGCCAGAGTATACAGCGAGTAAACGTGAAGAAGAAGTTTATGATGATGATTTTTATTTCCAGAAGCTTCTGCATCCCCCCCCCCCCCCCACACCCCCCCCCCCC